AGCTTTGCTTATTTTCGCCGCTTATGTAATTATGGCTAACTAGGACCGATTTGTTTTGCAGATGTGGATTAGGAATTTGAATCAAGTGGCGACTGTCAATTTTGAATTTCAAATGCAGACATTTGACCTGTTTAAAAATGGCCAATTTCAGGTCACTGCAATTGGCCTGATTACAAAAATATTCTTCTAATATTATAAAAAATGGGTTTACATTAATAATTAAATTACAATTACACTGCAGTGCCAAATCTAACACTTTTTGGGTTTGTAAAATTGTAATATTGATTTATTAATTAAGCCACTGATTTATTTAAAAGGTAAATCTTATGAATCAATCATATTGAGATAATATATTGTTTAACCAACATTGTAAATTATTTCACATTAAATTAGATTGATATGAACGTAAATATTTTAATTAAAAAAAAACTTTCTTCCAATTTAAAATTTTATATTCTGATTTTCCATTCTCGTTTGTAAATTAATTTGATTTCTTTTGACTATCTTTAAATAATTTATTTAGAAAGATATTGCCCGTTGATATATGCCACAATAAACTCTATTCATTAACTAAATTTATTTATTTTTGTCTTATCCTCTTATCCGCCTGTGCCCTTCTTGAGTCTACAGAAGGCAAACTCTTATTTTTGGGGGGAATATTTTTGAACATTTTTTTTTTATTTATTAATTTTTTTTGGGCATTTAAAATTATTTAATTACAGTTGGTTGTATCTATCTTAATATCAAAATGCAAATCCCGGAAGTGCGCCCCAGATAAATTGGCGCAGACAAATGCAGGTGGAATAAATCAAATCAAGATCTCTTCCAATCTCTTTGATACTCTCGCCTGCGCTCTCTGCGAGGGCACTTCTTGTCTTCTTGAATAAAAAACCTCTCGCTGCATGCATGTGTACGTCTCATTTAACTAAATACAATGCGTCAAGAGCACATTTGTTCATTATAATATATTCCAAAGTGGCCCCGATTGAGAGATGGACGATCGTATGGATAATGCAGAAGGAATTAAATACAAGTCTATCAATATAATCAACCGGAAAATCAGCGAGCACATTGAGAGCACAGCACACACAATACCGTATTTGTTTCACGAGCGCGAGAGAATTCAAACTGCTTACTTATTTTAATTTTCAGCTCCGTGTCGATCGGCGCGCAACACAGATCAAACCCGTTTGCGGCTGTCGATAAATAAATGCTGGTGTATATTGAAGAAAATGTGATAGGGAAGAGCAACATTGCACACACAATCAAGCCGAGCTAAACAAACTTTAGGTTTTTCAACAAATCCAAATACAGGAAAAGACGCTCGCCGCCGAATGGACAAACGGATGGACGGTGAATTGCATTCATTGACCGACCGATTGCCGACCTAACGGTTGCACTTTTTCAACTTCCTTTGCGATTGAACTTTTCTCTGCCTCGTAAGTGCGGAGTCATGTCTGTTTAATTGAGGATTAATTTGCATTTTTGAATGTTGGCTGGTCAATGTAAAATTTCTCTCTATCTTCTAATTTGCGTACTTTTAATTTAATAAAATTTATTGAATAGTTATGAAAGGTTATTTGATTTTGCATTTAATCTGTCGATCGATTAGATAAAATATTATGAATAATAATAATACATTGTATTACTTGTGGATATAACAGATTTAAAAATCAGCCTTAGTAATTATTCAGTAAGGAAAATTCTGGAAAATATTAAATTGGTTAATTCTTTCATTAAACACCGCATTATTTAAAGATAACTTTTTTTTCAAATTTACGCAATCTTGGGTTGAAAAGGATTTTAAATAGGTTCGACATTAAGGTCAACTTTTTCCCTTCATTAAACAAGAAACGAGCATTAAAAATAAAGAAACGAAAAATTAAATGAATTTGAATATTTTGATTGATTGGGTCTTTTTTGAATAAAATGACAGCGACGTAGCAATCAAAGAGTGAATTTTCCACATTTCCACTAAAAACGCTATCAGTTGACAGGTGAAGGCTCCGAAACAGATGGCACGTTGATCCCTCGTGAGTTCCCTTTCGACCATTATTGACTTTGCTTTTTCAACACAGCGCACTATCTGCCGCCGACATTGACGTCGATTTTTTACGCCTCTTCAGATACAGCCGACTTTCACCGTTGGATATTATTTATCTGAATTAATAACGAAATAATAAATACGCCCTAACCGATAACAAACCGTGCCCTCGGATGAATCTGTGGCGCCTCGAAATAAACGCAGCGCATTAATCACGTCAATTAATACTTTATTACTGCAGCCAGAGAGAGGCCAATTATTACCACTTCATTTACCGGCGAGCTGCTTGTCTAATTTATTTATTTACTGACAACTAAATCGGCCCGAACAAATAAAACAGCGAATCGAAATCGCGCTGCGCGCAGAGAGAAAGAGAAGCGAATTCCGCCTCTCATTAGGACGTCTATTCAGTTTGGCCGTGCGAATAATTCGGCTCGGCCATTCATAATTCAACGACTTGCTCACGTTTATTGTCCGTCGTGTGGAAAAGAAGCGAAAAAAAAAACGTGACGAAGAATATTTATTAAAAAAAACGAGAGAAAAATTGCAGAGATCTTCTTCCTGATCGGCCGCCGACAACTCGTGTGCGCATTCCCAGGCATGCTTTTTCTGCAATTACTCGATGCCAGAAAATGATACGGTGCCGCTGCTGCTGGTCACTTTGGCTTTTTGTCCGCGGCCTTCTCTGTCACATCTGCGCTCTCGCAGGTGAGCGTGAGAGATGCTTTTTGCTCTCTCTCGCGAGTTGTTCTCCGCGTGCCGATACCATCGGCTCCGCGCGAAAAGCAATTTTCAGCTCAAACGGACAATGCCTTTTTGTACCGTATGACCAAAAACGTGTGGGCAGCACTTTTTTTGGAGAGAAAATTTTGTATCGCCGCCGGTTTTGTATCGGACCATCATACAGTGAGGTTTTGCCTTTTGTCAAAACTCTAAAATTACACTCACCGCAACAAACAATTCAAAGGCTGCGTTTTAAATAAAAATTATAAAATATTGCTGAAATTGTGAGAGGTTTTTCGTTACTCTTTTGGTAAAATTTTGATGCCAAATAGAGGTGAATATTGTTCGCAGCACAAGTTTGTGGTTAAAATTGTTATATTTCTTTAAAAATATATAATTTTAGGTGAAATAAAAAAAATTAAAAAGGTGAAAAATCTCGAAATAAAAAGAAATTAGGTCAAAATGAAAGCTTTTTACTTAAATAGATCTATTAATTTAGTAAATTATTGTGAAATTAGAGGGTTTTATTTTCGGCGACTCTAAAATTTTGTTGTAGAATTTCACGATCGAGGGCTGATTCATGGTGATTAGCTATTCCTTGATGGGTATTGCGATTTGTTTATTAATCTACGAGAATCGAAATCCAAAATATCCACATTTATAATTTTAAAAATTCTTCCAATTAATACTGTAAAACTTAATTTAATATATTAATGCATTATTTATATTATTTATCTAAAATTTATACTTCATATTTTAAAACGATTATAATTATTATTGTTAGGGTTAAAGTTTTGCATTTTTTATTAAAATAAATAAAATTTAACTAAAGATTTCTTGCACCATCATTTCATTTTTTTTTTCATGTACTATATTTTTTTTTAATTATTCGACCATTTATACTGTTTATAAGAAGCAACTGCTCTATGATTGTGATCAATTTCCCAGGTTGTTCATGGTTAAGGATCAAATTCGCGCAAAGAGTGAACTGATTCTATTGCTTTCCTCTTCACAAAACAATTTGCACAAAGACTCGAGGTGTCGAAAGACAATTTAATGAAAAAAACAATTGCGTAAATATCTTGAGATTCACGTGTGTGCATTTTGGGCAGCTCTCGGAAACGAAGAATGAATAATCTCGAGTGAATTTTTATCCTATCGCTGCCTGGACGCGGCGGGCGCGGATCAAGCAAATAAGACCGCGCGATTTTATTCGCTTCAAGGTTGCTGATTGTTTGCTAGGTGCTCGCATCGTGTATAGGAGAGTTTTTATGTAAGCGCGACGGCGGCTGCATCTTTCTCTCTGCAGCTCACAAAAGCAGCGAGTAATAAACGGCAATAAAATAAATTTCCAGCAGGCGCAGAGCAGCGATAAATATATAAGTTTTGCATAACTCGGACACTCTCGGCCAGGCAGGCCCCCTACGCGCTCAACGCCTTTGTTTCGCACGTCGCTTTTATGACACCATCACTCTATCGTTCGTCTTCGCTGTGTAATAAATTAGCAAGCGGCGATTCGCTTCATTCTGCAATTTCGCTCTTAATTAGCAGCCAAATTGCTTGCTTTCGCAATTTTAAAAGGCATTTTGTAATTTATTTATGTTATTTATTTCAATTTAAAAGAAATCAACTTCAGCGTTATGAAAATAATAAGGATTTAATGCAAATTAAAACCAATTTATTTAGCAAAAGAATGAGTTTTCTATTTTATGCTTCAAATAATTTAAGTTAGGCTTAATTGAAAAAAAATCAAATGTCAAATTACTCATTATTTTATGTAGCTTTAATAGTAATGAAATGTAATGTTTTTACTGTACTGGACAATTTTTTTATAATTTATCCTCACATTTCTTTCAATTTGAAACTGTCATAGATTAGATAAAGGGAAATTTGAAATTAGTCCAAGGACTATTTATAAAAGCGCGTTTCAAGTTCGAACAATTGAGCCACAGGTGTGTTTACGCTGTGAGCGCCACTTGAAAATTTTGCAAGCTAAAGAGAATTGGCTAGAATTTGTATCTTGCATCAGCTTGCCTACGTTCCAAACTTTTTAAGTAACCCTCTCAAAATTAGAACAATAGGTTTCGTAAAGGACGTATCAAAGTCTTTTAATTTTTTGGATTATGTTTATAAATTACAAAAAAATCACAAGCTTGAATTGTCTATTATATAATTATACAATTAAAAAAAAAATGAGAGAAAATTTCAATCAAAAATCTATTACAACACTCACCATTGATCTTGCTCAGGTGCATCTTGTACTCATTGCTTTTCTTGAGCATCTCGTCGAAGCTCAATGAAACTCCTCTGGTGCGATGCAAAGCGAATTGAGGCAAGTGTTGGCGAACAAACGAGTTTTATGTATTTATATAATACGCGCGCCGTCCGAAAATAGCTTTCGAGAGTGAGCGGTACCGTCTCTTGTCAATTATATTCGCGACACCGCATAGCACTGAATAACAAACGATGCTTTCGGGAGGGGAATAGATTGGCTCGACCTGCTCGAGAGCCCGTCAGATTGATACTGACTGAGAATAATCCGCGCCTTCCCTCGAACGGCCGCGAGAGACTTGGCGGCGCACGCGGCCGGCAGAGGCACCAAGTTTGTTCTCCAACAACTCGCGCGCACCTTTGTTGTGTCGTCAGGGTGCTCTGCTGGAGAACGGACAAGAGGTGCGCATCATCAGGCAAATCGAGGTTAGTTAACATAGTCAACACATTCAACTTGAGCTTCAGCAGTTTGAGCTGCGTTTAAAACTTGCGGAACTTTTTATTTTGAATTTTTTTTTTTTTCTAAATTGTAGAAAATGAATAATTAATATAATTATGCAAACCGAACAGTCGGCTGTTGCTTTTTATTTTTTTGGAATTATGTTGTCAAAATATAGCACAGTGAGTGGATGCAATTTTTAGACAATTCTTTAGCACTGCACAATTAAATTAAATGTTCAGTAAATATCTTTTTAGCTCCCTTTTTTTTAAATACTTAAATATAATTTTGCCTTAACTATTACTCATATTTATTTTCAATTGTCTTTTATCCCTTTTCGAAAATAGTACAAGCGATAGCGAAATTCAGGCTAATAGCGTATGCTAAATATCAAAAGGGACAGTTAACAAGATTTTTCTTTTATGGCCGATTTTTTGATTATGGAAACAATCAAAACAATAGTTAAAAATCATGACCGTTAGTTATTCAAATTTAATATTTTCCTTATTAAAAATCTTTATACTTTTTAAATACATAAATAATTTGTATTTTTGAACATAAACTAGTTAAAGAACATTTAAATATAAATATATTAAATGATTTTCCGGAAATTTCATCAAAATAATTATCCCTGAAATAGTAAATATAATTATTATTAACAGAGAATACTTTTTAATTTTTAATTGATAATTTTTAAATAAAAATTTGCACAATTTTCTTCTTAAGCACATATCTTGCGATATTCTATAAGTGTCTTGGTACAACATTCACGTATTCATTATCGCAACTACAAAGATAAAATTAACCCAACTTCTTAAAAATAATTCTTCTCGTTGTTCGCGAAAGCTCTCATGCGCTCTCTCGCCTTACTTTTATCACTGCCAACCTTCAACAGTGGTTAAAATAATACTAAATAATTGTAATCGTAAGTTACTTAGTTTCTTTTTATTTCAGCAATTAAGGCGTTTTTCCCCACGCAGTTGTTTCTGCAATACGTTGAGTGATTTCCGGTAAAATCCAGTCCAAATCCGCCTAGCAGCGAATTTCACCAGTTCAAGCTCACGTTACGTTGGCACCACTGCGCGCAAGTGTGATTTTCAGTGATTTCACACGAACGTACGGTTGTGTGATCGCCATCTTCGCAATTTCCAAATTTCGAAGATGTTTTTCGAAAAAATGGTGGGTACCAACACAACTTGAGATCAAACTTTCGTTATTTTAATGACCCTCATTTGAAGTGCAGTCGTTTTTGGCCAGTTTGAGTGCCCCAGTTTGCAGTAAAGTTGAAAGATTTGGCACGAAAAATTTTCAAAACATTTCCATTTCATTGCACTCTTGTTTGCATTTTGCACTCCGCTAATTCGCATTTAAAGTGACAGACACGAATTGTGGCTGTCGCGAAAACATCCTGCCCTGGCGTTTGAGTTTGTCAATGACCTGATCGTCCGATTTGTTGTTTTTTTCTTGCAGATTCTTAATTTTTCCTTCGCATACTCCTAGAGGTAGGCTTGCAATATAAAAAATCTGCCCAGCAACAGTTGCAATAGAGCTAGAAAACCTCACAAACTTCACCGCAGCCTCCTGCAGCCTCTGCCCAGTTCACATTTTCCGGACGGCAGCCTCTTTATTCTTACGAAAAACTCTAACCTTGACCGACACTTATAAAAATGGATCCTGACAATTCGATCGGTGCTTCTGGCATCTCGATTCCCAACTGGATGAAACAGAAAATTGGTGATCGGTAAGGACTAAAGAGAGCGGACGTTTTTGTCTTCGTCATTTTGTGAAAAAATTCAATTTTAAAATGTGTAATTTGTGTTTTCAGTTATGACCTAGACGATTCCACGGCCTTCTCGCCTCCATCGCAAGACGAATCATTCTTTTATATCCGCTATCCAAAGACCACGAGCAGACCTCCTTCTCAGACCAACTATCACAAAATCAACCAATATCTTGAATCCCAACAGCAGGGGCAAACCGTGGGCAGCACTGCTGCCATGTCAACCAATGTCCCTCAAAATCCTGCTGGTATGGAAAATTTACTTTTCGATCTTAAGTAAATTAATTACCACTTTAGTGATGATATGATCTGATTATACTTTATTTTTATACTACTTCAGTACGTTTTCTTCTAAAAGAAGATAATCATATTTTTATTATCATTCAAATCCAAATGTCTGAATTGCTATTCTATCTAAAGGTCTAAATAATAATAACAATAGCAAAAATAAATGCTGTGTTTATCAGACAAGTGGTGTGATCAACTGATGGCATGCTTATGATCAATTCTGCATTTAATTAAAATCTCTCGTGTCAACATTACCTAATGGGACATGATAAGGGGTTAGATGAGGTCAACAGTCGTCTCTTAGATAAGATCCTTTCATTCAATTGGCGCGTTCTGTACAGACCCTCGTTTCATTTTGCATCACACAAAGAAAAGTAGTGGGATCTCTTTCTCTTTCTAGATTTTAGTTTTGATCGGCTTGCAGAAGAAGCAAAACACTTGACTTTTGTTTTTCTTTCCACAGCATCCACATCTGGATTCCCTAAGTCGATCGCCTCACAAATGCCTGCACACATGAACCCCACACTGGACATCGAATTCGACCCTGACCAGCCGCCCCCAAACTTGGCACCCAGACGCGGAAGCAAATCTTTACCGGCCTCTCCTCTCAGCAGCCCAAAAAGCTCTAGGAAATCACTTCAAAATCGCTATTTCACAGCCGCCTTTTCAACTCCAGAACCCAACACGCCAGGTTACTCAGGGTGGATCCTGTCAAGTCTCCTGGGACCTCGAGAGCAGCTCCCGGAACTGCAGCTGCCCCCAATCAGCGAAAGTCCCGCAGCAGGTGCAGCTTTTCCGCCACCTCCCCCGCAGGCCTCTGGCCAACAACTGGCTGTTCAGCAGCAGGGTTTGCGGAAAACCAAATCAGCCATCGCCTTGAACGACGAAGACGAAAAAGACGGAGAAAGGGTCAAGATGACACCTCTTGTGGCAGAGGCCAAGAAAATCCAGGCCTACAAACCGAAACCATCAGAACTGCGAGAGTTGAATTTCTGGTCCCCGACTTCAATGTAATTGTTGAAAGACATGCAAAAACTCTCTTTGCTCCAATTTGATCTGCATTCGAGAATATTTTTGAAAAGGCTGATGAGAACAAAAGTATGAATCGGGCTTGTTTACTGCATATTATTATTATTTTTTCAACTCTGCATTTTGACGTGTATTTTTTGCGCAGTCAGATAATAGAATGTTTTCTTTCTTGTAATCAGTTGGTCGCTGCATCTAGAAAATTTTATTGCCTGACTATAAACACGCTCTTCACCATTTTACATTTAACCAAACGTTTTGAGAAAAGAAACACTGCTGGGCAACATTTTTTTGCAATTGTGTATAAAGAGTAGGTGGTTTGTTGTTTACTTATGTATTTGATTATGATATCTATCTGTCATATTGTTGAGTTCCATACCTTAATATTATTACTCTAGTGTTTAATGAGCAACCTGCATAGCTCCGAGGAAATAAAATGTATGAAACTACAAATTGAAAGAGACCATTATTCAATATTCCCTCTAGAAAATAGCATCATAAATTATTTAAAACATTGGATGCAGCTTCTTTTATCAAATTTATTAAAACAACAACCAATTTACATGTTACTTTAAATCTTTAAATAATACTTAACATACAAGAAGTGTAATCAGACCATGTATATTGAAATGATGAGCCAAATTAGAAAGGGAATACACTTGAAAGTAATCTAAGATTCCTGTTTGAAACAGCAAAACACAAAGCTGAATAATTATTGTGTAATTTGGAGAGAGTTCAGCAAAGGAAACAATTTGCGCTTGCACTTGGTACAAAAAATTTCACACAAGCTTCTTGGCCTCGAAGAAACTCTTCAGATGTCTCATCTGCCAAGCGCCCATCACCAGGAGTACACAAGTTTGCGCCAATGACCACCACAGGACTCTCTGGTTTGTGCTTTCGCTCGTCTGTCTGAATCGTTCTTCTCGGTACTTTAAAAAAATAAAATGTATTTATTTAAAAACTGAAAATTCATCAAATTGTCCATCATACTCTCTGGTAATTCTGCTCTTTTGTGATTTGCTCAACTTGGTCCAAGAGTTGCCTCACTCTCAACTGCAGCTCAGATAATTTCTCCTTCTGAGCAATGTTAGCATAGTCGATAGCATGCTCACCAACTTGGATGTCCAAATGTACTCTCTATTTTAAGGACAAAACATAATTTCAGTTGACAATTTTTTTTTTTAAATACATACCAACTGAGTTCCACTGAACCATTTAGTGCTATTTGAGTAAAGGCAGATTACGTGCTCTCCAGGAGTGTGGGATGTGAAGGTAAACCGTCCTTCCGAGCTGTAGACCTGGACAAATTTTTTTTCTTTTAATTAGCAAAAATCACAATAATGGTAAACTAACCCTCGAGAGGATGGTCTTGTCCTCAGGGTCTTTCACTTCAACGTGCATCCCTATTCCAGGGCTTGAGGGCATGAATCCTCCAGTTCTAGGATCATAGAGCTGAACTTTGTAATTTCCTAAAGGCAAAATTATCACAGTTTAGCAATAATTCTAAAATTTTCACTGAGGATAAGTTAATATATTTATATGTAGTGCAATATGTGGCACCCATCTGACAGGGAAGTGTCTCCCGGCTTGCAAAAGTACGAACCTATAACTTGTGTTTCGTCTGGAATTTCTTCAATGAAACATTTTCTTTCTGTTTCTCCAATGTGGAAGTACAAAGGCGTCGCAAATTGTACGCAAATAACTAGAAAAAGACCTAAAATTTTTGCTAATGTGTTCATTTTTAGGCCGAGCCTTTCCAAATTTATTTTTCTACTCAGATGTTGCTCAGTTGTCAACAGGGAACCACTACGAAAGTCGTGCAAAGGTTTTCACCACATTTGAAATTTTTTGATGAGTTTCATGAATTTAATTTAAATTAAATTAATCAGAAAAAATGTTTTTGTATTTTTTAAATATCATTTGTGGAAATTTGAGTTTTGAAACCGAAAGAAAATCAATTTCACTTACGTGGAAAGTGGATTATTTTGCTAGTGATCTTAAGCGCCAAATTCAAATTTTGCAAAATGAGCTCTGTTTTGGTCACAAAGCGCTCCATATGTAGTGTTTTTGCGTGAACTTTTAGCTTTTACTGTCGTTAATTGCTACAAAACTCTGTAAAAATATTAAATAATAATGGACGTGACAATTCTTATGCTAGTTGCGTCCGTTCTGGTCATTTTGATCATTATATTGCTTCTGCTAAAACAAAGAGGTGGTGCAGGTAAATTTGTTTACATTTTATACAATTTCATATTTTTTTCTGCCTTTTTAATTGTAATCTTTAAAATTGACTTGGCGCTATTTAAATGCGCTCATTAAAAAAATCTATCAGCAATTCACTTTAATTTTCAGCAGCCGAGGAACAAGCGCCTGCCGAGGGCCAAAGACAAGGTGTCAGGAGAGCAGGAGGACCTCGCAGAGCTGTTGCAGCTCGAGGAAATGTGAGGAACAGGTTGAGAGGTAAATTTTGAAGATAACAAAAAATTTCCTGGATAATTCATAATTTTTTTACACAGGTGCAGTTCAGCAAGAAGACTCGGAGGGTGAGCAAGCCCATGATGATGACGATGATGATGCTGAAGCTGTTGCCGATGAAATGTTTGACTCAAAATTGGGTGCAAAGAAGAGAGCAAAGATGGAAGCAAAGGCTGAAAAGAAAGCAATGAGAGAGGTTGGTTTTGTCATCGTGTTATTTAATTGAATGTCAAATTTATACTTTTTATTAAGGCTGAGCAAAAAGATCGGGAAGAAAAGAAAAAGCGTGAGGCCAAAAAGGAGGCCGAGAGGCAAAAAGAAATTGAGGCCAAGGAGGCAGACGAAGAAAAAGAAAGGGAAGCTGAGCGAAAGGCACAAGAAGAAAAAGAGCGCAGGGAACACGAAGAGTACATGAAACTAAAAGAGGCCTTCAGCATCGAATCTGAGGGTTTCGACGAGACGGGAGGAGAAGATGAAGCAAATTCTTTGCGTGCTTTTGTGCAGTATATCCAAGTAAGAAAAGATTAATAAAAATCAGGGCCAAAAAAATTAATAAATATTATTCTAGGACACTAAAGTGGTCATTTTGGAAGACCTGGCCTCCAGATTTAAGCTGAAAATTCACGCTGCCATCAACAGGATAGAAAAGTTGCAAGAAGATGAAATACTGACGGGAGTTTTCGATGACAGAGGCAAATTCATTTTTCTTTCAAGAAAAGAATTGGAGGCTGTTGCTAAGTTTATAAGACAGAGAGGCAGAGTTTCTATTGTGGAACTGTCTTCCGCAAGCAACAACTTAATCAATCTCACTCCTGTCAATGCTGCGTCTGGTTGATGGAATATTATAATCTTTAATTGTTTTCTGTTTTGTATCAAATATTATTTATCATGAATAAATTTTTGAAAAATTTGTATACATCATAAGAGTGAATTTATTTTATTTCCATTAACTTAATTATCTTCGTCGCCACTGGAAAACTCCTCATCACTAGTGACATCAGGGTCTTCAGCTTGTGTCGTGCACTTTGGGCATTGGCACTGGAACAAGTAGTTGGCTCTGTGAAAATAAATTTTTTAAATATGATTTCTTATTAGGTAAGTTGTATTTTCTTCTACCTCAACTCTTTCTGCCGACTGTGCCTGCTCCTCTCTAGATCACACGCTGACAGATAACTTATGGTTATTTCATCCCCAGGGTGAATTTCTTTCAAAGACCGTAGAGTGACCCTGGAGTTGCCGTGGAGGAAACAGACTTCTGAATTTGGATCGCAACTGTGATTGATTTTGCTCTGAAGCTCATAAAGAGCGGAACCCTCGCAATTCAGAAAACCACCAGACTCTAAAATAAATTATTGATATGCAATGACCAATTAAATCAATTTTGATTGATTACCATCATCAAGGTTGTTGTACAAGTTGTCGATAAACTCTTCGAGCTGCTCTTTTTCAGTACGAGGTAGGTTGAGCTCTCCAGCTCTTTTAGCCCACTCGGCTAACGCACTGGAACCGACACCTTGCCCATTTGTTCCAACCATTGCTATCAGAGACAAAAATCCTTCAGGGGTCATCCACTATAATTTTACGTGTCAGTACTATAGATTAAGAATTTATTTTCTAATCTCACATGCTGACACTCCGGAATGCCAAAAGTGGAGACAAACATCTCTCGAATCACATCGATCTGGTTCCGAAAATTGTCACCAAGCAGCTTGTGGGTAATTTCTTCATCTTCGTTAGAGGTAAATTGGCAGAACTAAAATTTTTAAATTTAGTTATATCATTTGTACATAAATATTTAGGCTTATAATTACCTGGCTAAATTTATGCAAAATCTTAGATTTTTCAGGAGCCTGGTTAATAAGAGCAAATATTTTTGCAAAGATCATTATGCTCCCTGATTCAGGAGGGAAATAGAAGTTCCTGCACATTAAGAATAAATCAAAATTAAAATAAATTTTTAATTAAAGATTATCCCTACTTCCAGATTTCATTGATCCTCTCAATAGGGTGGGTGCCGTCTCTGGCCTTGGTCCGCAAGCATAAAACTTGGTGGTATTCTGCTGTTGCTCTTTGCAGACATTCCTGACTACAGTATTCAGTCTGAATTTTTTATAAAAAGATGAGAAAATAGAATTTTAGAAATATTTGAAAAACAATACCCCGCAAAGGTCACACTGAGTGTGAGTACTCCGGTCGGTAGTGCAGCAATCATGATTGGGAAGTATGATGTCTGGATTATTTAGCAACCTTCTTACATTCTCTTCAGCCGTTTCTAATGCCCTAGTTAAAGAATTGCAAATTACTTGGCTTGTATAAAAATGGTCTCATTCTTACCTCATGCAATAATCACAAGCCCTGTACTTGCAGGTTGCATTCCAAGGAAATTGGCTGCACACAAGAGGGTCTTCTTCAAACACGACACTGCCTTCAGCAAAGTCTTTTGTGGCAACAAGTCCCTTCCCCTAAATTAGACAAATTTTTCTTTATTTAAGACCTGTTTAAGACAATAACAAGACAAATATAAATGGTCTCACCTTTCTACCAGGAAAACAGATAACTTGAAACCCACTCTCATCGACAACCTCCATGCCTCTTGCACAGCACCCTTTGTTAGATACTAATTAAAGTGAAAGAATTTTAAAATTTTGAGATTAATTTATTATTTAATTATTATGCTCTGATGCGCAGTTTATTTGGCAAATTTATAAGGGATGGACAATCCAACTAGTGGTGCGACCAAGCTAAGCCAAGCCAAGACTCTGTTCGATTTGGGATCTCCACTGCAAACATCTTCCAAAAGCCTCGCAGTGTTGCAGGGATGGAAAAAGAAGTACGGTTTGCCAATAATAGGGTGGTCTTGCTGTGAGACAGCCCCCCATTTGGACTCCTTGACTGCATCTTTGTAAGGACTAGAGGCTAAATCCCAGACCTTTTCGATCTCAAGCAAACTCCCGTCGGATTTCCACGCATTGAAATATAAAACGGGAACTCCGTAACTAAGGCTGTACAAAATGTGATACTCAAAAACAACCATTTCTGAAGAGTTTGATGCAGATTTTGAGGCAAAATCTAGTTGCTTTAACTCTAAACTGGCATCTTCAAGTTCTTGGCAACACGATAGAGGCATCGAGGGCTTTAAAGGTTTCTTTAAAGTTTTGAAAAGATAAGCCAGGCCGACTTGCGAAGGATCTCCTTTGATCTCCCAGCCGTCGTTTAGGCTGTCAGATTTTTCTTTCAGAACTGAGATATCCATCATAAACATTTCCCACGTTATTTGCATGATTTTGCTTTAGTAAACAAAGTTTAAAATGAAAAAAAATATGTATAGAAATAATGCAAAATTGAAATATGCTTTGTCAACAAAAACAAATTACATACTTGTTACAAATAAAGAACGGTTTTAAATTTCTTTACTTAAATTTGATAATTTAAAAAACCAATTTCTAATTAAATTTGAACATTTATCAATTTAATTAACGATCAACAACCTGAGAAACTCCTAAAATCAAGACCGCGCGGGTACAGCAGAGTGCTCTCGGCAACGTGCTCGATGAGGTGGGCGTGGCTCTGTTTACTTCCACGCGGTCCGGCGAAAAGGGGGCGGTGGCTTTTGTTTTGCAGTTTTCTGTCAGATTGCGAGAAACTGAATTTGATTATAGATTTTCAGACATGTTGAGCGGATAATGCGCCAGCTTTTGGCATTGCAACGCGTTAAATGATCTTTGGTTTACCTCATTTGATTGCTGTCCAGCTTTAGTCTTTCTAAAATCTGAAAATCGACACATAAAAATGGTAAAATTGTCTTTCCTTTTGATTCCACAAAATAAATTTTGTGGAAAAATTTTTGTAAATATAATGTTTATCGTTCTTTTGCAGTCGGCCCTTTTTAACTTCCAAAGTCTTCTCACGGTCGTGCTGCTTTTGATTTGCACCTGTGCCTACATCAGATCCATGGCCCCTTCATTAGTGGACAGAAACAAAGTTGGGTGAGTACAAAACCACGTTTTTGTATGAAATTTGCACCCTTTAAAAGCATTGGGATCAAGGAATTTCTAGGGCTACTTTTGGGAACTTTAAAATTAACCAAAATATTTTCTAATAATAAGCCAGACCAAAGCACAACAAATAATGTGGATCAAATTTTAAAAGTGTTTAAAATTTTGATTACAGATTTTTGGGCATATTTTGGAAATGTGCTCGAATCGGCGAAAGAAAGAGTCCGTACGTTGGCTTTTGTTGTCTGGTCATGGCAGCGAGTTTGCTCTTCTGGACGTGAGAATAAGAATATGCCATCGATGCAACTTTAAAGAGCTCATTTTTATAAACTGTTCTTTACGATATTAAACTTTTCCAGGTCTGGTAATTTAAAGCTTGCGTTTTCGTTTGACAAAATATTTACCATCTTAGTTTTTAAAAACCACAAATAACTAACCGGAACATAACAGTTTAAACTACTTTGATATTGTTGAAAATACTAAATTATTTTTATGAATTTATAAAATATTTTTATAAAAGCGTTCAACTATTTGTAAAGGAATGTGAAGGAGAAGTTCTTGTTCAGAGGAATGGCTGCATCGTTAACAACAATCTTGTCGTTCTCCTGAATATACAAAAAGGTCGCGTCAGGATTGATGTCGCCTACGATGGCGATCGGCACTCGGCCCGCGATTCCCAAAAAGTTGAGCGTGTCAATGGTTTTTGTGGCTGTCACCTCTTGATAGTCATCGTGCTCTGACAGAAGTAATGAAAAAAAAATCAGACAAAAATTTAAAATTTTTACATCTTGGAGCCGGATTATTCCATAATAGTACTGGCCGGAGTTAATTGAAAATTTTAAAAACACTTGTTACACTTTTGAAATCATCCGACTAACTAGAATTTTCTCTCCCAACTATTTTCTTAAACTTTTCAATTTCTAAAACTATCAGGTAAATAAATGTCAAAGAAATCAGAATTTTAAAGGTGTAACGTTTTAAAACTGTTTTATTATTAATTTTTTTAACATAATATAATAAAGAATTATCTGTCTCTTACTGGCCACTTCATACTCAAACGTCTCCTTTTCTCTATTCAGCTCGTCTTCACGGATCATATAACACGTCCAAGGTCCAAGTGTTTGCTCCTTCGTTTCAGAATGCGCTTTTCCTCGTGCACTTCCACAATGGTTTGGCTGAGTTCCCATGACTTTTGCTGCAACTGCTGAGTCAGTTTGTTGTGCTCCATCAATGGCAGGCCCTGTGAGAACAGAGCCATTAACTTGGATTCCAGGTCGATCACGTCAACCTAAAAAATAAATAAGAATAATTAAGTTTGCTTAGATTTAATTTTGGTTTACCCCAAGTGGAGCAGCTTGCCGAAGTTACTTTGCCGTTCTTAGCGAGGAGCACAAAGCTGACGCAAGTGGGGACTGGGAAGCTCTGTAGTGCCGTGGACGACGAGGTGTTGGTAGCCAAAGTTGAGAAAGTCGACGATGACCGGGCCCACCTTGTCAGCATACTGGATCAGATCAAAGCCACAGCTTGATCACTTCGTCGATCATTTTCGGGCCGCCTGTTGAATATAATTTCAAGTTTAAATGTTCTAAATTCAATTTTAAAGAGATCAAATTGAATCTTACGTAGTGTGTAATCAACACTATCTGGATTAGTTGCGTTCTCGATCAGCGTCAGGAGAGCTCAACTGTCTCGCGCGCCTCGTCCTCAGAGGCAGAAGCTGAATGGAGGCGAGATTTCATTAGATGGCCGATAGCATTCCTCGAAAGGAAATCGACAGGCAGCCGCATTCTTCGACGTCAAGCGTTGACAGCCATGGTGGTGGTGAAATGAGTTCGTTGAGATTTTGGGCTTAAAAAATTCTTAAATGAGAATTCAAAAAAATCTGACTATTGCGCGATACCGGAAAAACAGTTTTTCCTTCAATAATAAACGTTAAACGTTGTCATGGTGACGGGGTGACGGCACAAATTTTCTTTGTTCACATGTTGGTTCACATTGTTGACAATTGTTTGTCGTGGGGATCCAAAGATTGATGCTCGCAACAAGAATGTTTAAGGACTCCTTATTGACATAGTCAAATCAAGTCTTTACAACAATGGTGATTAAAATTTCGAACAATCGCAAAAATCTTATTATTTTGTTGTAAGGACTTGATTTGACTATATCAATAAGAAGTCCTTAAATTATTATCCGGCTTGAAAAATTTTTTTAATGTTTTAAGTAAAATCTAGAAAAAAAATTGTACACTTTTTGTTAAATCAATTGGCTCACGTCGGAATTTGGAAACTCGTCCCGCGAGAAAACAGGCTAAGTGTCATCAAAGACGCCTGAAGGAGGTGTGCTGATTTTCGCCAAGTCCTTATATAGATTTCTGCTTGGCACTTGAACGGCGACGGTTCGTCCTCAAAAGTGATGCCCGCGAGGGAGGTGTCGAACCTGCATTGGCGTTTCAACCGAGATGAGTCTCATTTTATTAAAGTCTCTGGGGACTCACAAAACGCTTCCGCAGTGGATCGACGGGAGACCTGCACATAAAAAGAGTCGCCGTTCTGCGAGGGCACCGTCACTTTGTACTGAGATTGGCCAGTGGCTTCGGAATCAAGTTCAGCGTAATCGGCACTTCATAACGCGCCACGTTAAGATCATATAAATCTGAAATTTATAAGTTTTATTTGAATACGTTATCTTCAATCTAAATTATAAATTCAACGCCATAGAATGTAATGTAAATTTTATAACTTGTAAATAAGTTTTAGCAAAATTCTTGCTAGTGGTGGCGCCGTTTTTACCAACAATTCCTTTATTTTCAAATCAATCGCTTTCAACATTTTAATGTTAACAATAGGATGTGTAGCAATTTGGATAAATAAACAACTATATTAATAATTACAATTTAAAGATAAAAATAATAATAAATCGGTGACCCATACTCTTGCAGTGACGGGAGGTAGCATTGCGTGTTGACCCAAACGCAGGGCGAAAAACAAGCTGACTGTTCAATTTGTCAAACTGCATTTCTATCTGCGCAATATTCAGTCGCTTCTAAAAACTGGATTCGACGATGAAATTAATCAGATTTGCTCATTTATGTATACGAAAAAAAAATATAAATTTCCTGTTACTTTAGACTTCTTGTTGTAAAAAACGTTTCCTCGCCGCAGAAGTTCGCCATTCATTTTTGGATTTCTGGGGGATTTGATCTCTGGGAAATTGCAGATGAATAATTTGTCCAATTCCAAATACTTCCGTGGTTTTATTCCGTAAAACGCAACTTTCTCCGGAAATGTCCTGAAAAAATATTTTATTATTAAATTAAAATTAATTACTTTTGAAGTATTTCAAAAAATTCCAAATCGTTTAATGGAAATAAAGAATCAAAAATTCAAAAGCAAAAAATCTAAGTTCACCGTGTCAATTAGAAAGCTCCCTTCAAAAAACGGCTCAATTGCGGCCTTTGGAGGCAGAGAAGCAGAAACCCTAATTTTCTGGGTGGCCGCGCCTGGTTTCTGAGGCAAGGGTTGAATCAAGACGCCATTGATTTTTTCGCCGTGTCCCAAAACTGTCAAAAAGTGGGGGAATATTTTGTTTTCAAAAAGGTTATTTAAGCAGATTTGCAACAATAAAATTACAACCTGCGTGAAGCAGTATAAAAGAACCAAAAAAATGGGCCTCATCGTTTTCCAGATTTCGGCACCAGTTTGACCAAAATATTATTGCACGTTTAAATTTAAATATAGTAATCTTTAGAGTTCATAAAAAATCTTATCAACTCTCGTTTTGACTGGACATCTTTGCTTATTTTTCATTATCAATTTTTAATTTCGTCATATCCTTCACCAAGTGGGAAACACATCGACCCTCATCATCATCTTTATTTGAAAGGCAGGAGATTTATCTTCCAAGATGCTAGTGACCAAAAACAATTAATTTCCCGCCTATGGAAAAACCAAATTTATTCACTGATAAATTGATAATCATTACAAAAATCTGAAGAAAAAATGTTTTGGTTTTCCCAATTAGTGTAAATGTTTATGAATCAAGATTAGAAAGGCTGAAAATGAGTTTAATTAAACGGATTTGACCGGATTGAACAGACATAGTAAATTTATTATTTCATGTTTTGCCTCTTTCCAACAAATGCATTTTTATTATTAAAAAAATAATTAACTCCGTATGGAGTGCCCTACTTATTCTTAGCAACTACTTGATGCTCAGACGCTTTTTATTAAAAATTCCATGAATATTAAAAGAGTGTCTGCATCTCGGCAGAAGGTATTTTATCTTCAGTTGTGATCTTCTTCGTCTTTCATCCATCGAGACGTGGCGAAAATCGTCACTCCAGTAGCAGCAAGAAGGAGCATTAGCAAAAACAAGCTGCTCTTTCATTCAGTTCAGTTTGTATATGTGTTGTTGGAGCGGCTGTGCTCATAGTTACACGGCCTCGAGGGCGCTTATTGGTCCAACCCTCGGCCCGACTCTACCCCTGCCTGCCCTCGTTTCCTCATCCTTTATGCTGTGCCGCATAACACGCAAGCACTGCGGCCCGCTCGCACGTACCCCACCCAGCAGCAGCTGAATTTATCCGCACGCATTTTCGGAACTACGCACTCGGATTAATCTTGAATCGCAATTCTGAGGGTTCTTTTGAGTGCGTCATTTGCCCTTTTGAATATAAAGCGACTTCTTCAGATAGCAACTAACCACCCCTTCAAAACGGCTCAAAAGCGCGCAGATCCTCAACCGACGTCACCTTGAATGAGCACCACATTCAAGACGAGGAGCTGCTGGAGGACGGGTGCAGGCCTGGCTTTGGAAATAAGGACAAGGAAATCAAAAGGAGGTTCGTAAAATTTTAAATTGTATATTACAAATTTTTGACTTATTAATTTTCTTACAAGTACGTGTACTAGTTTTCCAACTACTAAATATATATTAAATCAAATCACAATCATATTGTAATTTAAAAATAATATTTAAGCGCTTTTTTATTTAAAAACAGAGAATTTTAAAATCGTCCAAATTTTAATCAATTTTATTATTTCAATGAACTAACACGAATTTAAAAGCAATAATTTTTAGGAAAATTATTTAAAAATGACTAGCCAGGTGAACTTCAGCTTTATTTATTGCGTGTAAGAATATCAATGGAAAAATATTAGAAAATTTTGGAGAAAATATTTTACCCTGAAAAGAAATATTAGTTAATTTATTAGAGACTTTATAATCTCCTAAGTGATGGATAAAAAGCGCAGGGAAATTATTGCTCCGCTACAGGTGTATTTTTTGTATCTATTAAAAAATTTGTTGTTTCTAAATGCATGCAATAAAATATCCATGTTTTTATGGAAAATAATAGAGATTAATGATTATATATCATATTATATTATAAATGAAGATCTAAATTAGTAGCCGTATATTCTATCTGAAACTTGGAGAGTCTCATCTTCTTCAAACAAATAAATTTATTGATTATAATAATTTGTGTTGCACTATTGTTTTGTATGGTTCTCGCAAAGAGTGATCTTTACCTATTTTACTCTTGCGGCTTTCTGAGCTTTTGATACTTTTTAATCTTTTTATTATTATTATTATTGTTGTTTATTTGCCCACATTGTTACAAAAGTACATTGTTTACATTCAATTTTTGAAAAACAATTATTTAAGAAAAAGAGATTGTTGGACAAAAATGCATCACCAATAGCAAAAATTTTGCTTAAACTTCCGAGATCAAAAAGACCCCATCCGCCTGATCCGCCGCAGTGAGCCTTTGTAAAAAATATACTAGTTATTATAAAGATATAAATAAAAGTAGTTCTATATATTATCATTTTATCGCCAATTATATTTTTACATTATATTTAACCTGACTGGTTGTAAAAAAGAAAATGCCGAAGGACGTATATAATACTAAATTATGATTACAATTTGAGCAGATCAATATTTGTGTCTGCATGCGCGCCCGATTGTGAATCACATATGGCGTTTTCCCAGATATTGGCGTAATAAATCGCGTCTTCCGGTACCAAGCGGCGAGGAGGAATTTATTTGGCACAATTTAATATAGAAAAGAGCGCCTGCCGTTCCGTCAATGGCAACCCGCAAAGCACGACGTCTCGCCGCGGCGATTGGAGGGGGAAGAGGAGGCGTAGGGGGTTCACTTTGTTTTTTTTTTCGGGATCAGCTGCTGCTGCGCACCTGTCCCTCTGTCGGTTTTGTCATCCAGCGGCAGCAGCTCTTTTGTAGCTTAATAGGCAGTTAGTTCGGCTAGTTTAGCTTAGCTGATCACACGAGCCCCAATTAGGAAAACCGATCGACCGGAAAAGTCACCGGAGAACTCGAATCGTCGCACGTACAAAGAGAAGAGAGGAAAAGAATTCGCACGGCTTTGCTCCGAGTCCAAAAGAAATGTATGCCCTATTTTATCATCCATAGAAAAGAGCACTGAACTGAGTGATAATTGTATTTACGTGTTTTGTATTTATTTTCAAGCTATTAAAGGTATAAAATTGCATTTGTCCGTGTTTATTCAGGAATTGAAAAGTGCAGCGAACGAACGGGACGGCCAAGGTGAACCAGAAAAAATAACACAGCCTCTTCTGACGGCGGAGCAGCTGCTGCTATAATTCGATCCCTCATGCACGACTCATCCTCTTATGACAACGGCCAAGTAAGGCTTAATTACAATGATCGTTTCATGCACATCTCATTTTTTTTCTTTTCACTTGTTTCAGTTGTAGAGCGGCAGCAGCATGGAAGATGACGTCCTGCCGCCGGAGGACCTGTGGCTGTTGCTGCCCGACCAGGTGCTCCTGCACATCTACCAGTTCCTCACTGGACCCGAGCTGCTGAGGGTCCGACAGGTGTGTCAACGATGGCATCGTGTCGGCTGCGACGAGTTCCTCTGGAGGGATCTCCTGCACACTGATTACAAGGTGGACAAGTCCATCGGACTCCCGCCTGGTAAGTTGCAAGCAAAATTTACCATTTTATTACAAGAGAAGTATCGAATTAAAATTTAAAATAAAAAATGCAAATGTTTTTTTTCTAATATTATTTTAATTATTATTATTATTTTTTTTTTGTGAGAAAACGCCTGCAAAAAAAAGCGGCCTGATTAATTTTGATTTTAATTTTTCTCTACATTAGCATTTGTTTGTAGATCTCAGTTCCAAGGAGACATAGTAAGAAAAATTTAATTTATTTTTTTATTCATTTTTTAAATTTAACATTGTTTCTTATGGGAATTTTCTAAAATAATTTTCTCCAAATTTGCCTGATCAAAATTGATAAAAAAATTTATCAAATCACGTTTAAATCACCTCAATTAATATGGAAAAATAAAATCAATAGGTCAGTTGACATAAAAAATTTACGTTGATCTTATGGGAAAAGGTTGAGAAGCTTTAATTACAGTTCAGATGTCAAAAAGTACTTGTTAAATCTTAATAACACCTCAAATTAATTATCTTCATAAAAATGGACTTTTTAATGGAAAATCACATAATTGAATTTATTTAAATATTTCTATCATATCATAATTGTTTATAAACAAAAAACTATTTTCAATATAATCAGGGGCAAGAAATTTATAATTTTTCTGTGCTTGATTTTAATTATTAAAAATTACAGCCTCGATTGTTGTGACCTGTCAATCCAAAATCCTCACGTTGACCTTTTTGAATTAAAGAGGCTGAACGAGCTGCTTAAGCGCCTGTTACGCCGACCCAGCTTGTCAGCGCTCTGATATTTTGATTGACATTTGATACCCACTACACAGGCTGCTCATTATGTTCGAAGGGCGCACATCGTGGATGGAGGAGTATTACCGGCTGACGGCCTGCGTGCCCATGCTGGAGACGGAGGTCTTGCGCGAACACGCTCACCAAGTGCTGCATGTCAGTTTTTCACACAATGGCAAAATGTTTGTCACCTGCTCCAAGGATGGCTGGATCTTGGTGAGTAAAAATAGCGTGCAATAATTTTCAGCCAAAACTAATTATTTTTTCTTTCCTCTAAAATTATGCTCGTCGTGTTTTCTCAACTTTTGGCACCATATCAAAGAATTAAATAATACTTGTAAGATATTATAAAAAGTCAAATGAAATGTTCCCTGCTGCAGCTTTGGGACTCTGGCTATCCGGCTAAAGTAAAGCACCAACACGACATGAAGCAATTCTCCTGGAAATATACTCAGTACTCGCAGTTCAACAGCACCGACACGCTGCTTCTCGTCTCCGGCGTCCACTTTGGCACTCCGCACAGCACCTCTGGCGAAATCGCCGTTTTCAGCCTTCAAGGTAATTAATTCGAATGTCATCTGTGAAATATGGAGACTTCAAAATCATGTACTCATTGAGGGGAAAAATTATATCTTTAAATAACTCTTCTAGTTTTTTTTTTCAAATTTATTCAAAGAATTTGCTAATTATTATAATTTAAATTCTTCTCAACATTTATCTGAAAAAAGTCAATTTATTAATGTTATAGGCAAATTTGAGCTTCAGTGCCGAATGGCCAACAAGCCGTACGACATTTTTGGCACGTGGTACAACGACCGGTATCTGCTGTCCGGCGACCTTTACTGGCTGGCGCACCTTGTGAGCACGTCCATCCTGTGGCTCAACAAAGCGTCGCAGGAGTCGCGTTCCGAGCATGTGGCCATCATGGAGCAACTCTTTCGCTTCTACAACCGCAACGCCAGCTCCGTCCGGGCCATCATGGTGGCCGACTGCCTCGCGCCCGAGACGGTTGAGAAGCAAAAAGAATCAAAGCAGCCGACCAAACACGAAGAGGAGCGCAGCGGCAACCCACCCTCACACCACGCACAAACTTCTCCCATGACCAACATGCCTTCTGCGGAACCGGGAACGTCGAAAGAGAAGTACAGTTTTTTTATAGTATTTAAATTTGTTCACATCTTTTTCGCTGTAAATAGATCATTTTGTAAAAGCAAATTTTTTTTAAAGAAATGGATGAACATGTTTGTCAGAATATTTTTATATTAATAAAAGCTGACAATTAATGTCTTTTATGTTTTGCATTCATAAATTTAGATTTCTTGTCTGTTTTAGTATGGATAGTAGCAAAGTTCGTTGTGATAGCACCTGTGATTTTCCAAGTCCCATCCAGTACAAAAAAGAGTATCGTTTGGCGGAGGCCGAAAATTGTCAAGACGATGGTAGACTCGAAACTTGCGACTTCTGCTCTCAATTTAATTTAATCCATTCCAATAGCTAAATCGGAAGAGGCCTTAAGTGAAAGCGGCGAAGTTAGTGTAGAAGAAGGAGGCAGCATTTTGGAAGACTCGTCTGAGGACGAAGATGAAGATTTCCAAGAGGAAAGCCTCCTCGAAAGCAGAGACAAGTTCCTTATATTTACCACTGGATCCAAGACATTTACCCCCCACCAGATTGGTAATTTATAACCAGACATTTAACAAGATAAATTAAATTTTGAAATTTAATTTTCATTTATAGGTTTTAAGCGCATAAAGCCTGTCCAGTTCCGTCACAGACTAGACCCTGGGCCGAGCCTGCAGGAGCGGCTTGCAGAGCAACGAAGACGAGCTGAAATTGAGAGGCAGCAACTGGAGCCAGGTGCACCTCCGAGGCCACCAGAGCCCAACTGGCTGGATTATGATTCTGTTGCAGAGCGTTTTGACAGAATTGATCACTTGATAGATTTGCACGGACACATCATTGGCATGGGGCTTTCACCTGATCATAGGTTTGTGCAAAATATATTTTAAATATTTATGTTTGAAGACAAAACTTTGCATTTCTTCAATAACATTTTATACCATTCAAGGCTAAGCCGATTTTAATCCTTAGATGTAAAAATAATAACTTGTTTCTCTTTTGTGATACAAAAACATGTTTGCAGATTCTTGTACGTTAATAGTCGGCCTTGGCCTCAAGACTACGACATCACAAATCCTCTGGAGCCACCACATATAGCACAAGAAATAGACATTCACGTCATCGACTTAGTCACCCTGAAAGAAGTCGGGACAATGCTGAGGGCGCACAAGGCCTACACACCCAATAACGAGTGCTTTTTTATTTTCCTAGATGTCTGCTACGAGTATGTGGCAAGGTAAATTTTGACGCATTTTTACAAAATTTAAATAAAAAGAAATAAATAATTTCAGTGGAGCTGAAGACAAATTTGGCCACTTGTGGGACAGACACTATGGAACTTGTCTGGTCAAGTACCCTCATGATGATGTCGTCAACTCTGTAGCTTTCAACCCAAAAGACCCCGAAATGCTGGTCACAGTGTCAGACGACTACTCCATCAAAGTTTGGAGGTCACGGAGGCGAGTCATGGAATTTAAGGAGCGCGATGGTCTCACAGGGGATGAAAATCTGCATGGTGATATTCCACAGGCTGTTGAGTTGCGCAAGGGTGCCAAGCATTACCAAAGAAAGCGAACCACCTCGCGAAATTTGAATCTGTTCAGCAGCCTCATGTGATAGTCTTGAACTTTTTGTACTTTGGTTTATCTTTGTATTCTTGTCAATTTTTTTACCATGTCATCAAGCACAAATTTCAAATCTTTGTTATACATAATCTTCTATTGAACAAAAGGCACTGATTGTTGAATAGCTCTGCACTTGCAAGAGATTTAATTGTGGTTGATAGAAATGATGAAAATAAATATACAATATATGTATTGCTGTTCACCTCTTTTTTTATTATTTCAACAATCAAATAATTTAATCATCCCACATTAAGGTCCTTTTAAAATTGTTTTCAGTTCAGGTATATTAGGAGTTCCAACATTTAGAGACAAAGTGACACGGACAAGTTGCCAGTTAGATACTTTTAAAAACTAACATCGGAGCAACCACATTTTTCAAAACTGTTAAACAGATGAACTTGAAAGCCTTGAAAGAGTATGGTAATTTTAATTTATAGTTAAAGGCGATTGCAACTCAATTTCCGTCCACGTAAAGTTAAATAGTTCAAAGTTGGCTCCCCATTTAATGTGCTTCAACAGAGTAACAAATTTCAATTTGATTTAAAATTATTCAATTCATAAGTCTAGAAATCAGTCTCAGGTGGGGACAGGATTTGGGTCCGAATTATTTCCACTTGAAGGTCCCGGCTCTGATGGGCTATCTTTGTGTTTGTGGTCAACGTGGCCGTAGCAATTTTCACACTCATCGTCAGACTCATCAGAGCTCTCACCAAATTCAACTGGCTTTGTGTAGATACAGCAACCTAAACCAAAATTGGCAACATTAATTATTTATATTTTAAATAAAATTAACGCATTTTAATAATTTTCAAAGTTAGATTTCGATACTAAAGGAAACTTACATTTAGATTTTTTCCGTCCCAAATTCTCGTTGTCCACAGTGCTCTCATCAAATTGAACTTTCCTTCCCGTCTTGGGTTTTTTAAGCTTCAGCCTCAAAGTTGGTGCATCCTGGAACAAATGAATTAAAATATTAACAATCCGCGTCAATAGCATCATTTTTCAAGTACCAAAAAGGGGAGATTATAAGGACACTTTTTAGTTTAAAAATAAGGCTATCTTTAAATTTAGGCCACAGCACTGCACTTCCTCAGTTCGGACACTTTGTCCTCAGAGTACCCTAAAGTGTCCCTCAGCACTTGGTCTGTGTGTTGTCCAAGGACTGGTGGCGGCAGACGAACATCATTCTTGGCCTCACTGTATTTGACCGGCGGCCCAACCACTTTAATTCTACCAGCTGTCGGATGTTCCAGCTCCTCAACTAGGCCAACATCCTTCACGTGTGGGTCTTCAAAGACTTGCTTCAGGCTGTTGACTCTTCCGTAGGGACTGGCGCCGCCCTTCAACTTCCGAAGCCAAAAGTCAGAATCGTGTTCCTTGAAACGAGCACGGATTTCTTCCAAAAGCTCCTCTCTGTTGATGACTCGTTGCTCGTTATTCCGGAATTTTGGATTCACACTCAATTCCGGAAGATCGATTCGCTTGCAGAAGTCTTCAAACTGCTGGTTGCTGCCGCAGCAGATGGTGATGAAGGCGCCTTCCTTGGTCTGCAGACTCTCGTACGGAACCAGACTGGCGTGGGCGGTGCCGAGTCTCTTGGCCTCAACACCGGCGTTCAGGTAGTTCGACCCCAGGTTGATCAGGCAGGCCACCTGAGTGGACAAAAGGTTAACGTCAATCTTCTGCCCTCGACCTGTCACCTTCTTCTGCAAAAGGGCAGCCAGGATGGCGCCGTGGGCATACAGACCAGTGGCTATGTCAGTCATGGCCACACCGACCTTGCAAGGGTCACCGTCTCTAGGCCCAGTGATGCCCAGGAGGCCACCTTCTGAGGCTGCAATAACGTCGTAGCCCGGTCGAGTGGCGTACGGGCCAGTGGGGCCGTATCCAGTCAGGGAGGTGTAAATCAGACCTGGATTCAGGGCCGCCAGGTCTTTGTATCCCAAGCCGAGACTGGCCAACTTTCCAGGGACGTAGTTCTCCATCAGGATGTCACTTTGACAAGCCAGGTCTTTGGCCACTTGAAGGCCCTCCGGAGACTTCAAGTTGATGCAGATGCTCTTTTTGTTTCGGTTGACTGGAAAAAAGTAGCAACTCTCGCCGCCGAGGAAGGGCGGACCCCAATTTCTGCACTCGTCGCCGCCCTTGGGGTGCTCGACCTTGATCACCTCGGCGCCCAGATCGGCCAGGATCATGGTGCAAAAGGGTCCGGCCACGATTCTCGTCAGGTCCATGATTCGAACTCCCTCCAAGGGCGCGGCCAACTGCGCAGAAGAGCTGCAGAATTGTCTGCGGAAGCAGGAGATGAGTTTCGTGCCTTTTAACATTTTCTCGGTTTTTTATGCAAGAGACGCTTGATGTGGACAGACTTGTCAAGTGCTATTATCGCTGGCTGATAAGAGGGTTTAATGCAAATGACGGAAAACGAAAGGGAATCGCGATCGAGGCTCTCAAAAGAAGTGCCTTACCCTGGGCGGCTGCCCGTCTGTTTCTGTTTCAAGCACGGTTTCGGTGGCCGTGGCTCCGTTGTCGCACGTCTGCTCCGCCATCGAGACACCTGCGGGTTAATTAAGTTGCTTGCCAGGCAGATCTTGAGATAAGCCGATTTCTTTTGAAAGGCACGCACGACCGCCGCAATTAATTGTTTACACTCCAATCGAAACGAAAAACGAGAAAAACCAACGATCGAGCTCCTTGTGGGGTATGCAACTCGTAGTGCAGGGCACCGAGCGCTCTCATTGGCTGAAATTCTGCACCGCGGTTTGCTGATTGGTCGGAAGTAAATTGAGCTCGTCGATTGGTTGAACTTGCAGAAAATCTCTTTTAATTTGTGGGCCGAGGACAATTTAAATTATTTTCGCGCTAAAGTGAACAGCGCGAGAGGCACTGAACATTGAAATAAGTTGATTCTGCATTGGCTCAGGGAAGTCAAAAATGCCCAGGAATATTAGATAAATTTAAAAAATAATAATTTGAATTTTGAAGGACAGAAATTAAAAGTTGTCTTATTGTTATAATTTTCGAAATACTAGTTTTTTTTATTATTATTAATTTATTCCAGGCAACAACTGCATAATTCTAAATACACATTTATTTATCCCAACTTGTGTGGATATTGTAATAAAAAATCTTATTTATTCAGTAGATATTTCTTGGTTGAGACGACAGCATTAGCAGAAGATGTGGGTGAGAGGAAAAATTAGCAAAATGCGCTGAGTGAGGGTGATAGGTTATCACAGGCTTTATAAAGCTACATTTTACATTATATTCCAGTTTACAGTGATAGGCGGATTCCGAATTAGTTTCCTTCTTTATACAGACGTTGCAACATGTTGAAGTCAAGTGCAAGCACCAAAGTTATTTCAAGGGACTGTGAGAAAATTATTTCCTTTTGTGGAGTTAAAAATTGTTCATTATCTAAAATTTTAACAAAATATTTCAGTTTTCGAAGATTATTTCCCTTCTTTGAAACGCTCTGTAGGTGCTCCAGGAAAAAGAAAGAGAGGTACGTGTAATATTATTAATGAAATGCCCACGCCAATAATGCGCCCTTATTAATCGCTGTAAAAAGGTTATAATTATCCTGGTTCTGATATTTGTTTCATATTTAATTAAGAGTTAAATCAAATTAAATTTTATAACAAGTGCATTAGGATACATTTTGCACTCCTTTTTGTGTGGATTTTATGACGAGATTTAGTTGTAAATAATTAATTATATAAATTACACCATAATAATAATAATAATTGAGAAATATTTAAAAATAATTCAAATTTTCATTCAATTTTCAGAAATTCTTTGGCGTTTCTTCATCGAATTATTGCGTGATCCAAATTTTAACCCACGTGTGATCACGTGGGTGAGCTATAATGACGGAATTTTCAAAATAATCGATTTGCAACTCCTGGCCGAAGAATGGAAAAACGCCGCACAATCAGAAATAAAAGACAGTAAAACAAAAACCACAAAAACAGCTAATTGCGAGTATTTCTTAAGAGGGACGAGGTATATAAAGTAAAAATAATTTTGGAAAAACTCTTTACAGTAAAATTTGCTTTGATTGCAGAGGATACTATAAGTCTGGTCATATCGAAAATTTGAGGAAAAGTCACGGAAAAGGCGTGTACAGGTTTGGCATAAGTTGCAACCAGGAATGGAAAATAGTGCCACAAGAAGAGGAAGTGCTATACAACATTTGAATGAATTTAAACCCTTTAATTTATTTAAAAAAAAATCCATAACCCAAATTTAACTTGCAATAATTTCCTGCAAATACGTATCATGGATTTACATACATTTCCATTGATATAATATACAAATTTTATTGATATAAAAAGGCACGCATCCAAATGACTTTGTGAGTTTTGTGGCTTTGAATAAACATGTTAAATATAATTTTTTTTAATAAAATAATAATTAAAATTTTAATTAAAAACTACTCAACAAAAAAATTTTCGTATATAGGAGCCCAATAAAAAAATTCAAAATAAATATTTTGTAATTAGAACCTTATCTCATTATAAATAAAAAAAACCACAGTTCTCCCTACTTCCTAATTTTACGCTCCGTGCAAGTTCCGACTTCCGTGCTTGTTGCACGCAAATTCTTCAGTCATTAATATATTGTTACTTGGTTAGCCGGAGAAATCAACTGTCAAAAATTATAGCACACTAACTAAGAAGGTTTTTCTCTCTTTCTTATCTTTAAATTTTTTACACCACTCTAGGAGGAAATGGGGGAAGTGTGCTTCATTTAGGGTCAAACAAAATATATTACGATAAGTGGAGCAGTTGAATTTTCGCTAGTGATAGCGATTAATAGTTTTTGGCGGTTCTTGGTAAAGGAAGCCCATCAATCATAAAGATGCTGATAACCACAGCTAGTATTAAGGAAATTTCGCCACACCGTAAGTAAGAAATTTATTGTTCTCAAAAAGAAAAACATCAAAAAATTAATAAATTACTTGCAATTTTTCCAGTGGTGGGACTTAACTTGCAAAATCTGTCGAATCAGTCAAATGATAATTCTGATAATTGTGGTCCACATAAACCTCACACAAGACGTATAATATAATCAATTAAATCCAAAACTTTCAACCTGCCATTAAATAAAATTGATTTTCAGTCATTATTTGGGAATTTTTGCTCGACGCTCTGCGCCAACCGCGGTTGAACCCAAGCGCAATTCATTGGGTCAATTTCGAGGTGGGCACTTTTAAAATTGTGGACGGAGTAGGCATGGCGCAAGAATGGAAATTGGCGAGAGGGAAAGGAGCAGAGACGGAGGACACGAAAAAGGCCGCTGACAACTTTTGCAGGTCGATGAGGTGCAGCAGAATTTCAACTTAAATGAAACAAGGCAGCTGAAATTAATGCTTTCAGATATCACTATCAAACAGGATGTCTGCACCGAGTAAGCGAGAAAAAAGTTTATCGATTTGGAGCAAAAACCGAGTGGCGCCGCGTCCAAGAAATTCACAACAGCATCGCACGCGCCGAAAATAATATATTTCATTTTGGCGATGAAAGCAGCAAGTAAACGAATAATTAACAAACCGTCCAGAATAAAAACTAATTTAGCAATTTTCAACCAAAGCAAAAATTTACAGAAAAAATTAATGGCGCTTTTTAATTTAGTTTCTTAAGATCACGTTATTCGATATTAGTGGCGACAAATGAATAAATTGCATTTTTCTTAAAAATATCTTGTTTACCTGAAAAACCAAACGAAAAATAATTAAGTCTTCTCTTGACGAGCGCCGCGAAAGGTACGCTCAAAACACACGACCAAGATTATTTTGTAAATTAATTTGTTAAAAATTTTGAATTCAACTCTCAAATTTTTTTGTTGAAATTTGTTTTGTGTAAATAATTTTTCACTACAAATTTTTTAACTAGAAAGGGAAATATTTTTATAAAATTGACTTTTATACTAATTCTCGTTAAAAAAACTCACAAAACCCATCGAGGAAAAGCCGAATTTCAATTAAAATCACCCAGGAATCGAAACCCTCAATCGTGAAACTCTACAACAAGATTGCTTGTATTTACAAAGAAAAAATTTTTAGTAAAAAAATAAAATATTGGATGAAAATATAAATACAAATAATGTAAATATGACTTTATCTGATTTCTTTTCTTTCCAAACTTATGAAAAATTCAAATGTTGGAAAAAACACTTTATTTTTTATTTAATTAATTTTTGCTGCAATAGATTAACAGCTTTAATTCTTTAAAAATTTATTGTTAATAGTTTGAATTTGAATCCGCTGAATCCATATTTCAAAATTATAAAGCAAACGCCAAAGTAAGGACTGAAAATTGACGTGAGACGTCCTATCCTCTCTACTTCCCGAATGGCACACCAGATAGCGTTCAGTTTTGTTATTGAATTTTAGTCTGGTGTCTGGTTTAGTCCTCAAGCTGTAACTTTGAATTTTTGAAAACTTTGAAAAATCAAGGCTTTGAATCAAAATTGAGGAGATGTAACCAAATCATAAGCAAGCAGAGGTTTGTAAATTTAATTGGATTATATGCCATGCTAAGTAAATAACGATAATTTGATAAAATTTAGATCAACCAATAGTGTAATACAAAAACTTTTTACTTTTATGTACTTTTTAACATGGTGATCATCATAATTTTTTAAATTTTTAAGTTTTAATTTATAATTCATATATTTTCACACAAAAGTCTCGGTTTAAAAGAAAAAAAATTGCAGAAAATGAGCGAGGAAAAATCTGACAGCTCTCCTACCGAGGAGCAACAAAGTCTAGTCGACAAAACTGAGAACGCATCGGCAGAAGCTGCGGGAACTGACAAATCTAAGGGTAAAAGAATTTACAACGCAACACTCGAACATCATTAATTAAATTAAGAAAATTAAATTTTCAGTTGAAATTCTTTTGAAAGCAGCCGGAAATGCGCCGATAATGAAGAAAAAGAAATGGGCTGTTGGCCAGGATAAGACAATTGGCTGGATAATGGATTTCATTCGTCGATATTTAAAGTTGGAAGCAGGCGATAATCTGGTTTGTTATAAAATTTTATAAAAGCTACTTTGCCTAATTGATTATTTTTGCAGTTTCTGTACTTAAATCAATCTTTCGCCCCTTGCCCGGACCAAGTGATTGCAAATTTGTACGAGTGTTTTGGCTCAGACGGAAATTTAGTTTTTCATTATTCTCTCACCCCAGCTTGGGGTTGATAATATAAAAAATTTTTGTATTACTTTCACATTTCCATAAAGAGCAAATAAAACTGGTCGTTACTAATAAATATTGAATAAGATGCAAATTTGCTTGAATCAATACTTAAAATTATTTAATTACTCGCCAAGAATATTCACAATTTAAAATTAATACCTAAATTTTTCATATCACGCCTGCACTCCCAAGTTCTTTCCTGAACTGCCCAATCTGGTTTGCTGACGAATGGCAAGCAGCTTGCGTGCCCAGCGCTCCTCTCGGGCTGGCTCGTCATCCAGAAGCTAAAATCATCAAGGAAAACATATTATATAAAGGAGGCAAAATTTAATTGCAATTAATCATTTAAAAAGATAAAATCAACACATAAAAGGAAATGAGTACGATAAAAAAAATCGTTTGGAAGAAAAACCACAGCTGATATTACTTTTTACAACTAGAAGTAGTAGCTCAACATTAAACTTCTGTCAGATGCAGACGCAAGAGATTGTAAGGAAAAATTTTAAATTCTCGCCCATCCTTAGAATACAACTTTTCTTTCTTATAAAAAAGCAGATTTTTAATGATCTAAATGACGAATTTATCAATGGACGTTGATCTTGAAAATTTGATTAGTTGCTCTGAATTACAATTAGAAAATAACAAAGGTAAGCAATTATTTAGAAATTATTTATCATAATCAGAATTTTAATTAGTTTATATGCATTTTATATTGCAAGTGGTAATCTGGAAGTTTTTGCTCGATCTACTCAACAATGCTAAATTTAATCCAAGTTCAATCAAGTGGGAGGATGAAAATCGAGGAACCTTCAAGATTGTAGATGGGCTGGTTGTCGCACGCGAGTGGAAAGCTAGGCGAGGAAAAGATTTCAACCGTTTGTGCAGCAAGACTGCGGTGGATAATTTCTACAGAGCGTTGAGGTATTTTTAAATTTTATTTGAGATAAAATAATGGCGTGGTTTTCCTATATTTTATTTTTGGAATCTCAGATATCATTACAAGACCGGATGTCTCCACCAAGTGCAAGAAAAGAGAGTGTTCAGATTCGGCTCTAAAACAAAGTGGCTCAACTATGTAAATAATTCTGGAAAAACTGACGATCAGGTGAATGAATACGAAAATTGGGATAATCTGATTGCGACAATAGGTTTGCAGGGACATTGATTGAAGGGAACGGAAATTAATCATTTGAAGAAATCAATTATTTATTATTATTGAAGTTTTAAATATTTTTCCCACGACTATCTTTTTGATTTTTTGTTACTGTTTTTCCTGTGCATCTACGTTTCTTCACCCAATTCTTATTCTTTTTATTCCATGAACAATCAAAAATAAATTAAGGGTTTGACTAACAAAAAGGCATAATTATTATTAATAGTAAAAAAAGGATAATTTAGATTAAATTTTTATCTAGCTGGTGAATAAATCAGCATAATTTTCCTGCTCATTGTTAGATAATAAAATAAAGCACACTTTACCACGGAACTGACAATGCCGCTGTCTTCCTTCTTTGGTTCTGCGGTGAGATCAACCACAGTGGGCAGGGGAATGTCCGGAATATTTCTTGGAGCTGACAAGAACGACTTCGGGGCAAATCCATCCGCGTTGATTTCATCAATGGACGATTGAGAAATCACTGGGGGTGCTAACAACATTTGCTCTGTTGGGTGAAAAAACAAAAAAATTGTCATTCAAAATAAGTATTTAATTTGTCGCAAACCTTCAGCCTTTCGCTGCTTCAAGTCACTTGCCGCCTGGATGGCTTTTTGCACTTTCAAACGTAATTGTTCCGCCGAGCTCAAGAGGTCGTTGCTCCCTGCACTAATAACTCCTGCCAGGTCTCGAACCGAAGGTGCTGCGTTAGAATTTGTTGTTGAAGATGACGAGACGGACGGAGATCTGAGAAGAAATTATAATTTGATGATAAACTTTTACTTTTACTGTCGTTGGAAGAACCTTTTGCTGCTTTTAGTCCTAGAATCGGTTGAACTGGAGCTTGATGACCTGCGACTGTATTTTCCTCCTCGTCTGTTGGAAATCAAATTCAGTCTCCTATATTTGTTCTTTGAATAGTGATATTATCATACCGGCTTTTACTGCTGCTGCTACCGTACCGATCTCTGCTTCTGGACCTGCGACTTTTGCACTTCTTTTTGTGCCGCGAAGAGTACGACTCGCTTTTGTGTCTGCTTGGGTTTCCAGGAGACGTAGATGGAGACCTGTAAGAGATTTCTCCAATAAATTTCGCTGTTCTTTGTTATATAATACATACATTAAATAATTGCAAAGTTCACTTTTTACTTGCCTGCCTTTGGTTCGATGAGACCGGCTGCTGCTACTTTTTACGGTTTTTGATTTTCGTCCTCCGCGCCCAGAATCGGACGAATCAGATTCGCTCGAATATTTCCCCATTTCCTGAATAACTAGTTTTTTTCTAAACTGATATTCCAGATTTCACTAACTTTGTGGCAATTTGGAAAACAACCAAACTTTTCTAGCAAATCTTTTTTTCTTTTTGTTTTGATGTTGATTTTTGTGTCTGAAAGTGAATAGAGCGCCAGTAGCGCCACGCAGCGGCCAGACACAAAAAAGCTATCGACGGGGAACGGGGGCGGGGAAAAGTAAAAGTTGACAAGAAAAACATGAAACGTAAACAAAACAGCAGAAGATAATTTGATTGTGCGTAAAATAAACTGGCCGAATTTGATTAGCACCGTGGCAATTGCACAGAGAAAAAATAATACATTTTACGTGATTTTACGTAACGATGTCTAGTCAACCAGAGCATATCGATGGCATAATAAGCTTTTTGAAAACAGTAATGTTTACATTTTTTTATTATTAGTTTGATTAGTTTGCTTGTAATAAAAAATTTATTTTATGCTGATCAATAATTTGTGGAAATTATTGCAGATTGACTGGACTGATCCATGGCTGATGTTGCTAATTTCCGTTCATCTGATTTTGACAATGACAGTCCTGTTGACCAGGAACATGGCAAATGTGCAGGCACTTCTTTTCACTGTGATGTGTAAGCAATCTTTTTTCTTTACTTTCTTGATTTTAGTTGATGAATGAGTTTAGAAGAAAGCCAATATTTAAATTTTATGTTTCCAGTGTTCTCTGTATATTTTTCGGAAAACATCAACATCTACGCTGCGGAAAGATGGAGGTAAGCGGAATTGATTTTATTATTATAGATATAGAACGTTTTTTGGGAGATGATTAATTTGCAAAATAATTATCTTCATTGAATCCGATAATATTAATTTGATCATAAATATACTTTGTAAGATAAATTTGATTTTAAAATTTGTGTAGGTCATTTTCTCGGCAGCAGTACTTTGACAGCAAAGGGATGTTCATCTCTATAATTTTCTCGATCCCAATGCTCTTCAACTGCATGATCATGGTGGCAAATTGGTTATGGCAATCATCGGAACTCTTAACACAATTGAAAGTGGCCCAAATGAGACAAATGATGAGGCAAAACACAATTCCATCTGATGGAAATGCCACAGAACAACACGAGAAAAATGAATGACAAAGAAATTTGAATTTCTTCTCAAAGATGTACCACTGCTTACTCTTGGAAGAGATTAAAAGACTTAACAGATCAAAAATTTTAAAAATTGTGCCTGAATTCTCTATTTGTTAGCAGATGTGTGAAATAAAATTTTACTGCTATTATTTGCATTTCAAATTTTCTGATTTATAAAAAAAATTCTTATTAAAGAGATTTTCTAATATCAAAAAATTGGTTATTAATAGCCTTAAACAGTTTAGATACTTGTACCACTGGTTGAGGCAACATTGGTAGCAGGCTGCTGCCTACGTGGACGTACAGGAGCTTCACATTTCATTTCACTGTAGACTTGAAGCATCTCTTTCGCAGTTTTCCTTTTTCTGCGTGGTTTCTCTGGCTCTTCATTTTGCTCCGCTGACTCTGCATCTGCACCCTCGGAATTTTCTTCTCTTTGAATCATTTCAATTCGTTTCCAGTGCCTTGCTCCTTTGGCCCTTTTCTTCCTTTTAAATTATTCCAAATTATTATACCTTTATTTAAAAAAAATAATAATATTATAACATACTTGTAGTATGTTTTCTTCTTTGGCTCTTCCTCTCTTTCTGGTGGTGGTTCTACAGTCAAGTCTTTCATTGAAGGTGCTCTGTAAGATATACAATTCTTTAAGAATTTACAGCAACTTTACAAATAAATTTTTACTCGTATGCCTCCAAAATGGCTGGAAAGGAAAATAGTGCTGCAAATCGATCTTTCCACAGATCCATAGCCTGCTGTGGAGAGAGGTGATCATCATCTTGTGACGGCCCTGGACCTAATGCGATAGCAGGCAAGACCACTTCCTTGTCTGATTGTGAAAGCTGAATTTCTTGGCCACCTTTCCTCTCTTCTGATGAATTTTTCTTTAAACGGAGTCTAAAGGCAGGCTTTGTCTCACTGTCAAGAATAAAGTAAAATTCTTGAATATTGCCGCAGATGGCCAGTGGAGCTTTGATGGCCTCGCTCTTGCGTTTTCTTTCGGGACAAGATTTTCCGTCACAGATTCCGCTGTGCAAGTGAACGGTAGCTAAAGGTCGAACTCTGTCCGACGGCACTAGGTGCACGTTCTGACACTTTCCAGTGGACTTGAAAGAATTTGGACCACTCTGCGAGTTCATGAAAACTGCAGACTTTTCACACTGGGCAACAAAGTTCTGAACAACTTCTCTTGAAGTGAGTTTATGGTTGTGTAGTCTTGCCATTTCCAATAAAAGGGACCTGTAGCCAATGAGAGTGCTGAGCTGGGGAGGGAAAATCGACTTGATGGGTTCGTCATTGAAAGTCATATTTTTCAATTCATCAGTGAGCAAATTGATCTGCTCGTCTTCCAAAATCATTTCTTCTTTAAACTCCAGCTTGGCATTTAAGGAATTGAGATAAATCCTCAAGTTTCGTGCAACTTTCTCTGCAATTGCCTCTCTGATTTCTAAAGAAATAAAAGTAACTTTTTACACTTTTTAAGAAATTTTGCACTTACTGCATCCTTTTCCTCGTTTACTACTATAGCTGGTGAAGTAGAACATTTCTAAATCTTCTTCTTCTTTTTTCACCACTTTTTGAACTCTCCCTCCAATATACTTTCTTTGAAGTTTCAAAATCTTCTTGCCATCATCTTGCTCCTCGTGCTTCAGATACTTAAAAAAAAAAAAAAAAATCAAAATAATGTATTTAAGAGTACTTTAGATTGAGCTGAAATTTTAATACCAATTTGACGTTTTTTGAGATAGTTTGCTTGCTAATCTCAGATAAATCAAATCCGATTTGATGTTCCTCCTTCAACATTAAAAATTATTGTCAAAAAGTATTGTAAATTCAAGTTAAAACTTACAGGAATTTCAGCTCTAAAGTTTGATGAGCGAATCTCGACTTTGTTGAGCTCCTTTTGAAAATTCTTGCCTGTAAGTGTCTTGTTTTTGTTTTTCTTGTCAAAATCAATGTATATTTCATTCTTTTTCAGCCTAAAAATTTGTAGAATTAGTTATTTTTCTAAATAAAAATTTGCCAACATACATTTCCCCAAAAGATTTAGATTTCTTCAGATGGTGGAATCTTTTCCTCAGCTGCTCTACAGTACGAATGATGTATCTCTCACTAATTTCTCTGTAGCTCATTTTCTTTAGAAACCGACAAATAATCAGCATGACATCTTCTTGAGGAGTTGAGTAACCTCTGTAGATATTTGGGTCCAAGTGGCACCGCCACCGCTGGCCTACTTGCTGAGCGTTCCTACCTGGTATACCAGCAGCAACAGCACTGAATGGAATGTAGTTGCCCATACGAAGCTTTTTAACAGCTGTCAAAACTGCCTTGTCTTCAGTTTCGCTCCAAAAACTCCTGGCTCGATTTGCTGCACTTTGGTGATGGATAAATGCTTGATAGGCAGATCTTCCTTTCAATGCCTTAGCAATTTCCTGCCAGGTTTTGCCTTCCGCAGCCAATTCCTAAATAATTTAATTTTAAATTAAAAAAGGATAGTACAAATGTGCGTTAATTTACTGAAATAATTTTGGTTTCCTTCTCACTCCACGGCTTTCTAGATAAATTTGTGTGCAGGCACAGTTTCCACATAGCCTTGATTTCAGTTCCTGTCCTCAAACCATTAAACTAAAGACGAAAATAATCAGAAAATTGTGATTTAGAGTTTTCAAACAAATTACTTCAACTTCAGAAATTTTGTCCCAGTCATGCTCATGGTTTGGGTCTTTTAAAACCTCCTTCAGATGAATTTGAGCTTGTACTTCTATTTCCTCTTCCGTTTCCTTGATTGCTTCTTTGAGCTCGTCGATAGTCCGTCCGGAATTTATCTTTTCATTCAGCTCATCTACAAATTCGTCCTCCAGCATTTCAAATTCCTGCAGCAATTGTTGGCAGGCAAGTTTTTCCTCCAGCTGCTTCTCTAATTTAATTTTCTTCTGCTTCAGTCCAGTCTGCAATTTCTCTAAGGCAAGTTTCTTTATTGCCTTGTCCAGTGCTTTCATTTGGTTTTGATTCCCTACGGATATTTTTTTATTTACTTTCTGACATAGTAAAAAATAGAAACTTACATCGATTACTTTTACGCAGGGATGAAATGTTGATGTAATTGTTTTTCGTCATCCTGTAGTCATCTCTGTTTGTTGGCGGCGGGAAATCAGTTTTGTCTAAAAAGTACGGGTAGCTGGCTTTCCATGATGTGACATCGAGAATTTGAGAAAATTGGTCACACGGATTGAAAGATCTAAGGCCAGTTTTTTCCATCACTTCTTTTAAGCTGCTCTCAAGTTGGTCCTTATTATGAAAAATCAACATATTTTGATAAAATTACCATTTACTATCATTTGAAATATGCATCTTGCTTTGTTCAAAGTTTAACGTTTAAATACAGCAAGAAAATGTCAAAATGAAAAACTAAAAAATGGCAACGTTGATAATTAATTTAATAATACATACCCTACTTTCAATCAAGCTGCTCATCTTAGCCGACAAGTGATTTATGGTACTCCTGATCTCTGTTTGTAGCTGCCTGTTTTTTTCCAAAAACGCTTGCAGTTCACCTAGGCTGAGGTCTTCTAGCTGCATTTGAGAGCTTGCATTTTGAGGAGTTTCGTCCATGTTTGCACCTAATTAAAAAGAAGCCCAATTAGTACTTCATTAAGATTTTATATCAGACATTATGTATAATAAGGTCTTCTCTTAGAATTTTCGCAATTCGCATGCGTAATTTATGTATTTAGTAATTGGTAATAATAACCATATAATAACTAATAAAAATGCAAGTAAAATGTAAATAACGTACCCGCAAACATGCTGTATTTTTTTCAAAGCGATCGAACAGCAAAAAGTCAGCTTGCTAATTTTTCTTCCAGATTAACTCTATGGTCCTTGCACTTTCATCTCCTCTTTACGCTATTTTGCGAACTTGGTGAAGTTGTTGATGTAAAAAATGAAGTTAGCAGTTAAAGTCAAATACCGTCCACTTCATGAGATCAGGGACTGCAATCCTGGACAGCCTTGTACCAAGGACAGCAAGGACTAAATTACTTTTCCCGCAGTCTCTGTCAGGTCGTGTCGTTTGCTCAAGTTTGCCCGTGTTTATGTTTTGATTCAGTGCGATGGATTTGGTTGGCTTGGGTAGCCAATACCGATGCGCGGCAACAACCGGCACGATAAATGATTGGACGAAAATGTTCAAGGTCAACTTTTTGAGCGAGAATGGCGCAAATAATGCTATTCATGGCCAGAAAATTTGCATAATTATCGATAATTAATAATTATATTAAAAAGGTATTATTAAAAACAGGTTCGAAATGTTAGAATGCAAATCTTCCAATTAATTTCATACTCTGCTCGTTCTACGCTGATGTTAATTTTAATTGAGATTCTAAAAAGCTTCATCAGAGGAAAAATTACCACAGATATGAATGAATACTATTATTATATATGTATTTTAATTGTTTATCCCTCTTTGTCAGAGATGATTTTGCCAAAAACAAAAGATTCACAGGATCAGTTTAAAACATGATGAAATGAGGTCCATAGTCATGTCATGTTTTAATCAATAAAGTCTGAAGTACGAAATATTTTTGGTTTTTTTTTCTGTAAGTGAAAATAGCTTTGCAAGATTGACATTTTAAAAATATTTTATTTAGAAATTTACAGTTTCTATTACTAAACTATGCATTTTATACAAAAGCGCATGGAACTAAAAATTAAAAGAAACTTGGGCTGTTCCAAGTGGAACTTTTTTGCAACAAATAGTTCATAATTTCACATATGGGTCGGCACCTGCACTACTCCGGCGGAATTAATCTATTTACACATGTTATTGACCCTGGTATAGGTGAATTGCACAGATTTTCTCTGGTAGCAAGTTTTTAAATTCTGCAGAAAATCAAAATGTTAAAACAAGTGATTCGGAATAATTTATGTATACCGACAATCTCTGGACATGACTGAGTATCTAATTCAAGCTTACAACTACATTTTTTTCTGCCCTGTACTTTATTTACAAGAGCATTTGACTCTCTATACCGATTACTTTAGCTAGCACACTTTGCTGCGCATACCATCATGAAAGCTGCAACAAATGTGTTTGTGTGGTTGAAAAGGGTTATTGCTACCCAAGTACAGGGAGACTCAATTTTCATGAACAAGTATTAAATAAATGCATAGAAGAGGGCTTGGACTTGAGGGGGGTGGGGGTATGCAAACGTCTTTATAAAAATCCAGTCTCACCGCGTTTCTCAAAGCCTTTTCCTTTCACAATTCTATGGGATTGCCAATTGGAAAAAATTGTGCACTTTAAGCAGCCTTATTAAAAGTCCAAACAGCCCTCGGAAGTTGTTTCCTTCATGACAGCATGACTGAGTTGCACAAAAAATATTGAGAAATGATCACGACTAGCTACTGCCGCTTTAAGTTGTGCTAATCGGCAGCATTCAAAAGTCAGATATGCCCATCATTACTGCACAACAACCATTCCAATCAAGTATTCCACCAATAAACCAACGAACAATAATAGTAATGTATATATGGTTAAAAAAATGTACATCAATGCGGTGGTGTTAGCAAGTTTGCCCTGACTGTGTTTGTACTGAACGATCTAGTGAATTTACAAAAGAATGAAAACCTTGTATCTACGATCAACAACCACAAATCTGACAGAGAATTTTACCACCTGCACTTTCCTTCACTCAATCACGATAATTTTGAATTGTGAAAAACTGTGAGCACAAGTACATAAGTTGGGAGAAAATTTACCAAACAAAGAGAGATGATGTCGCGGCTACCACTATATACAGAAAGAATTTAAAAAATACAGCAGTAGTGTTTAGAAAAGTGGCTCCTGTGGCTTATGACTAACGTTATAAAAGGTTATTCCCTATAGTTGTTAACAACCAAATCGAATCAGAAGTTCAGCTTCAAAGGAAGGCTAATGGCGTTTGACGCTTGATAGCAGGATGGCCGGCTGCACTTTCCTAATGCGCACAGCTGTGCCATTAGCGGTCGGCTTACAAATGTAGCTACTGATTGGAGCAGTGGCTATCGGCCTGGTGATGGGAGTCGTTTTGTAAATGTAGTTTCCCTGGATTTTGGTCGTTTGATTCGTGATGATGGGAGCCTCAACTTTGGTTATACAGGGCTTCTCCTCCTCCTCTTCCATTTCTTCGTACAACCCGTCATTTACCTGGTAAAATATGATAACGTCAGTTTTGAAACTTATAACTCTTATAATTTACATACATCAAGGTCAAACTCGGGAATGTCATTCTCATCCAGCTCATCCAAATAGCTTATGTCTACAAACTCATTTTCAGTTTTGATGCTGGTTTCAATGGGGTCATTGTCCTCATTTTCATCCACTGCAGGAGGAGTGAATTGTCTCTCGTTAGGAGGAGAGATAGAGCATGGCAGTTCCTCGTCTTCGTCCTCCTCAGTGTCATCGCCGCTAGGAACATCACGCTTCATCTCACCACGTTCGAGCATCTCCAAATTTTCTATTTTTCTCAAGTTTAAAATTTGCCTTTAATTAATTTGATTCTAAATTACCTGGAATAACCATTGCTCTGCGAATGGCCTGAGGGTCTTTTCGTGACCACTTCTGCACCTCCTCGTCCATTTTAGACAGTTTGGATGGATTCATGGCCCATAAACACCCCTTCCTTTGGCTGCCGTTGCCGGACGGCTTCTCGATTTTCTCAAAACACTTGTTCAGACTAAGGTTGTGGCGGACAGAATTCTTCCAGCCGTTAGGAGCAGTTTTGAAGTACGGGAAGTGTTCACTGTTGACAGAATTGATGGGTATTAATTATATGAAAGAATCTTTTTCAAATTTTCTTCTTACCACATGAAATTGTAAATTTCGGACACGGGCAAGCTGCCGCTGGCAGAGTTTTTGAGCGCTAGTGCAATGAGGCATGAGTAGGAATAAGCTGGCTTTGGATAGACTTTTTCATCAGGATTAGGCTGCACGGACTTGTTTGGCCTTGGAGGGCACCGAATAGTTGCCTATGAAAAAAATGATCATTAGACTGATACTCAGAGTTGACCAGATTTTGACTCACCATTCCTTCATTGATGGAAAGTGTGTTGTTGGAGATGTTAAATGTGTTAGTCTTCACGAAGGTGAATGGAGTATTGGTGTTACTACACACAAGACTGATACCCTTGTTTCTAAAAATAGATAGAAATGTTACAGGCGCTGCTCAATAAATTATTTTGTATCTGGCTTACGAGATCTTTGCTCTGGCAGGCAACTGCGTCGCAGTGGTGAAGGTTATTTGCTGTGGAACAATCGGCTCAGCATCTGTCTCAGCCTTCATGTTAACAGGTTCAGAGTTGAGAACATCCTCAACGGGCTCAACTTTGGGCTCAATCACCATCGGTGTCGGCGACAATGAGTTGAGAGGTATCACGGAGTTTGGATTGACCATCCTATTTGCAGGATCATTGTCCAACACAGGTGTAAAGTTGGAGTTGCTGCTGCCTCCAGGGGTGTACCAAAGGTTTGAGTCAAAGCTCGGAGAATGCAACGGAGTGTGGCGACTCAACAAGTTGCTCACTGAAAATAATTATATTGTAATAAGAGTCAATGCCAATTCAGTGGATAAAACTGTACCTGATGTTGCGTTATCCACAAACTCCCACTTACAATCTAGAGAGTCCTCCAGTGCTAAGGATGGCAAATCCCCGCCAAAACTGAAGCATTCGTCTATGTCCATCTCTCTCTTTAAATCGTCGTCCATCATTTGTTGCAACGACAAGTGGTCGTCCTGGAGAGCTGTCAAGTACAGACTGTCCATTTTGCACGAGCCTGAAATTTCCAAGAAAAGTTACTTCTAAGTAAAAAAAAAAAAAAAAAAATAATAACAATGATAATAATGAAAGGCGCAAAAGAATAATAATTTGCACGGATATTCGTTGAGAAAACCAAAAAAGTATCAAACATACAGAGGAAGAGGGTCATTATCCAGTTTGTTTTTCACCTGTGCCTTAGAGGCATTTAAATCACCTCATAACGGACCGATCAAAATTAAGTCTATTTATAATCGAAATGCGGGTTGAAAGAAAAAATAAGGTCTCTTCGTAATATTCACTAGTTTCCATTTTAACAATGAAATTGTTCAAAAACAGTTTCTTGAGTTATTTGTTGCTATTTTGATTGATAGTAAAAAAGACGTTACCATGGCAACAGCTTCAGCCATTTTCCCGCCTGAACATTAAATTTACCGCGAGACCGACAGTGATATTTGCCGATTTTTTAGAAAATATACTATTTCGAGTCGAAAAAATATGACTTTCACACTAAAAATAGGGCAAAAAATACCTAGACACAATCGATGGCCCTGCGGATGGATTACTAGAGCCGTTTCATTGCGACAAGAAAATTTGTGATTCTAGAAAACCGACAGTTCAAAGTGTGCTCAGAAATTAGCGGAATTTCCAGAGAAATATAACATAAACCGCCTGCGAAATATTATTAAAAAATGTAAAAGTGCTTACCTTATAGTACTGGATGGGAAAATAAAGGCTTATCTTCTTAATAAATCCAGTATTTTTGATAAAAAGTCTTAATTCCTATCGGTTAACATTCAATGTTCCTGCTCAAGACGAGACGACATTGAAAGGATCAAAAATGAATAGCAATAGAGCTGTGATTGGTGGATCGCGGTCACGTGCCAAGAGGGAGGCGATTTCATTGGCGCTCCGATCGTGAGAGGCTCGAACGCTGGATGGCGCTTGCAAGGCACATGGCGGAGAATTTTATATTTGGAGCCAAAAATTATCAATAAAGTTGCCGATAAAAATACAATTTCCCCATGTCAAAGTTCCTTAAGCACTTTAAAATTAAGAGCAAAATTGGTTTTCATGCTTAAAAATCTAAAAGTAGACTTAGGGCGCTCAAATACAGAGAATTTCACCGAATCATATTTAATGGCCGTTTGGCCTTCCCTCTCAAAACCGAAAATGTTCTCGCGTAATGGCGGCAAATGAAACTCCAAATAAAAAATTATATTTCGTTGCGAATTCTGACCCGATTTAAGAGATCAAAGTACCAAATTTCATTAAAAATTGTGCTCTATCGATCTATATATGGATCTCATCCATTCGCATTCGGAATAAAATTAGCAAAATTCATTTTATGTATTCACGACTGGTCGAGTCCATTTCAGAAAAGGGGAGTTCGGATGTGGGCTGGTCCAAGGTTGGAGGGAGGGGATGACAAGCAGGAAAGAAAATATTTTGGTCACGTGACCAAAGGCATGTAAAGGAGCGAAACAATTCAAACAATACAACAAAGAACTTTGTGTAAGATGGCTTATTTTATCCAAGACAGCAGTCGTACACACTTTTACAATTTTTAGTTGAGACTTAAGAAAGTAACGTGGCGTTTATGATGAAGCAACAGCCTTGCGGGGTGTGGGCTTTCCTCCCTCACGGAATCCATTCCTGAAAAAAGTTTATCAATTATTTAAAAATCACCATTTACTATTTCTTTTTCCAAAAATTGGGTGCATTAAATTAATTTTTTTATTCATTAAGGTGAAAGACACGTGTGTTTTAATTTTCTTTACACACTCCTATAACAATAATGAAGTTAAAAAGAATCACCCAATTTAATTAAAAAAAGCTTAGTTCTTGGAAAAACGTGACTATAATAAAAAAAATTACCTGAAACGCCTGCGTACAATCTTCAAGAAACGCATACGACCAGTGCCGGTAGTTTTCCTGCGCTGAGCCTTAATACTCCAGTTGACTAAAAAACAAGAGGAATTTTTAATTCACATATATTAGCTATCAACATAAATTAAAGAGCAACAGACAAAATAATATAAGGATAACAAAATTTAATCAGATTCTGAATTTAAAAAAAAAAAAAAAAAACACCCTTGTGGTTTATGATTTATGCGAGTTGAGTGCAAGCACATCATAAAAAAGACCACAAAATCACACTTATATCCATTTAATTTCAAGAAGAAATGAAATTTGTATGCAAAAAAATGCTTTCAATTTATTTATGCATAGAAGTTTTTTAAATCTAAAGATTTCATTGTTTAGAATAAAAGTGAATAGAAGTAAAAAGATCGGAATAAAAAATTATCACTGACTAAACTTTACACAAAAAAATGTAAAAAAGATGAAATTATGTATTTTTATGCATTTTGAAGTTGTTTTTTTAAACTTCATAAGGCTAATCAAGCACATTGAAATAAAATAAGAAATTTTATGAGACAAAAAATTTAGTTATGCCTACAATTTATAGGTCAATTACTTTAACCAAGCAAGAGAAACAATGAAAACAAAAATTGCAATCAAACGTCTAATGCCAAAAATTTATAATTAGAACATTTAATTATAAATTAATTCTCCTTCAGCTGGAAAAATAAAAAAATACTAAAATAGATTGAATTTTAGTCTATCCTTTGGAACACTTTACGGCCATTTGTTCAGAATGAGGACAACTGACACACTTCATTGTTATCAATATTTAAATTAATGGATCCATACAAAGAATTTAACTTTATATTATCCAAGTAATCAAGCATTATCAGACAAAAATAATGTTCTGTGCTGGCTTTGTCTGATTTTTCGCACACACTTAACAGTCATTGATTAATATCAAGCCATAATGTAAGAGAAAATTAAATATCAGGAGTCTGCAAATACGTAAAAATATATTAAAATATGTAACACCACGACTTACAGTGCCTAAGGCGTCTGCTGGGGTATCCACACTGTGCACAGGTCTTCTTCTGAATGTGATACGCCGACCTTCCACACCTCCTGCACAGGGTGTGAGTCTTATTGCGCCGCTTACCAAAGCTCGAAGTACCCTTCGTCTGCAGAGGAACAAGAAGATTGGTTAATTATCATAGTGACAACAGCAACAGATGTAATAAGTGATGTTCAAAAGCCGATCGGTCATGTGGACAGGGTGATGTTTTGAAAGTTAAAATAGTCTGCAAATGAACTTTTTTCAAAAATTTACTTATGCCGACGTACAGCAGCACAAAGTTTAAATTGATTTGTTCAAGATTTTGCAAATTTCTCTGGCTGATGACCGAAATATCAGCAGATGAAAAAAATGAAGAAAATAACTTTACCATCTTTTCGCCGTGGCTCGCCGATAGGGTGTGTTCGCTTAAAAAAGCGAATCGACCTTGTGAGAGCTGCGCAGACCATCATTTTCTTGTTCTGCGCAACTGCAGCGCCGGCAGGGTATCTATCCAAAAGCGCCCTCTCCGGCAGCGAGCGTTTCAAAAATGGCGTTGATCAAAACAACAGGAAACCGCTCCGGGTAAATTTGCAGAGAAGCTTTCGACCCTCGGCGGTGACCTTTAGACCGGGTTGAATTTTTAGAGACAGGTGAGCTAACTAATGGTTTTATTAACAAAAAATTTCCTTCAAAAATGAATCCTTTAATTGGAAAAAATTTATTTAATATGTCTCTACTTGCCAGGATAGAGTTGCCGACATAATCGTAAAAGTGAATTAAAAATTAAATTATTATGAATCTACGCTTTTAAGTTGGTTTTTAAAACCACTCTTATTATTTTGCTAACCAACGAAGTGTTGTTCGCGATTTTGGTGTTCGCAATTTGGTCTTCCGCAGGAGGAATTTTGCAAAAGTCAAAGTGGGCGTCGCCTGCTGTTGTGCTAGGGTCTTTGACAGGTAGTACGAAACTCGATGTCTCAAACTGGGACACACCGGCAAGCCTTATCACTCACGAGGGAGACGCAGACATAAATAACAAGAGAGTGACGAGAGCCTTCTGACGCCGGTCCAAGAAAAAAGTCTGCCTCGTCGCGAGGGTCTAAAAATAAACTGGCCTGCATCGTCCGAAAATAGCGCGAGTTGTTAGTCGATGGAAGGCTTTGTGAGAAGCACAAGGATCAGTGCGAGAAGATGACTCACAGCGGAGCTTCGGTGCCCGTGACCCGGTCGTCGGTCAGGAGCCGATCCTCTGGAGGCAGTAGCTCGGAAATCGACCCCAGGGAGAAGGTGAAGGCATGTTGCCGCAAGTTGGTCGAGTTCATGTTCACGCAGGTCGGAGTGGGCGGCCTGGTCGTCTGCTACGCCATCGTCGGCGCGTTCGGCTTCATCCACATCGAGACGGCGGTGGACCCAAAATTTGAGGTTGACTGGGCCAAGGCCCTCACCACGCCGGACAACAACCTGAAGGGCGCGTGGATCCAACTGGCGGCAGTCGAGAGGCTCACCACCCTGACGGCCGCTCGTCTTTGGGACTTCACTAGTTCGGAAAATGTGTTCAACGCCACCACTTGGAAGGCCACCACGGACATGATTTTGCACGACTTCCAGGTTCATAATTAAATCAAAATTTAGACCTTTTTTTAAGCCCACCAATACAATTCTTTTCAGTTATTTTTTTTCTCATATTAATTATTTAGATAATAACTAAACGAAATAAAAAATTTAGACAAGTCTCATGCTTTTTTAGGCTACACAAATCTATTTCTTGCATTTCCAATCTGCTCGGCACATGTCCCAAGCAAATACAAACCAAGAAGTTATTTTTGTCTGCTAATTTTTTTGTTAAACGATCAAGGCAGAGTCTCAATTACAATGTAAACTTTCCACTTTTAATTTTTAATTTTTTTCACTCTCTTAATTTTGTGTGCTATTGCATTTTTATTATTATTATTATTTTCCTTTTTCCACAATGGCCTTCTTCAATATTTAATTTATATTCCAGTCAACTTTTTTATTTAATTATAAAAACGGCGCCCATCCTTTCAGGATGGAATTGTGGAGTCGGTGAAGAAAGGCTACGACGGTCGAAAGCCGCTGGACGCCTGGTCCTTCCCAGCAGCGCTCATGTTTTGCCTCAGCATCTTTACGATGATCGGATATGGAAACATGGTGCCCAGGACAACATGGGGCAAAGTCGCCACCATCTTGTATGCCGTATTTGGGATCCCTGTCTACATTCTTTACTTCATGAACATGGGAAAAGTTTTTGCCAACTGCTTTAGGTGGATCTACCGGACCATTTACGAGTGCACCACTAAAAAGCCGAGCATCAAAGTGATCGAGCTGGAGAATGGCGACACAGTGGCGCACCCGAGGGTCATTGTCCCGACCACTGCTTGCCTCTGGGTCATCTCTGGATACGTCTTAGGTAGATCATTTGACTGAGGAAAAAATGGGAAATGTTCTGAGCACAAAATGATTATTTATCTGATGTGCTTACGATATTTTCTGTTTTGTTGTATACCAATCAACTAATTAATAATTCGTTTAGGTGGCACAATAATGTTTGCTGAATGGGAAGGCTGGGAGTACCTGGACTCGGCATACTTCTGTGTCACATCCCTGTGCAAAATTGGTATTGGTGATTTCGTTCCTGGTGCGAACATCCTCGAGTCGCGCTCCGGCAACCAAACCAAGTTGGTCATCAACTTTGTGTACCTGCTGCTCGGCATGGGCCTGATTGCAATGTGCTATAATCTTATGAGGGAGGAGGTCAAGGTCAAGATGCAGGAGTTGAAGAGGGACATGCGCAAGTGGCTCGATGGCCTTCGGATACAGTCCTGCTACGGGAAAAAGAAGTCCAAGAGATATCACTGAATTTAACTTAAAAATTACAGTGTTTTTTGCATTTGTATAATTGTATGTAATTAATGGATTAGAAATAAGGTTTAACATGTTTGACAAGATTATTTTATTATTTAAAACTGAATTATTCCGTTCGAACTTCAAGAACTTTTATCATTGACGGGTTAGTGGAAAATTTGGTGTTAATTATAATTTATGTACTTGTGACTTTTTTTCCATTTTTACATTTCGTTATAATTTTTTAGTTAAAATTTGGCAAGCATAAATTTTCAGACTATTATGAGGATTCATAGTTGATGGATATTTTTTAGTTGAAAAACTGCCTATGTTAATTTAGCGTGATATTTTCTTTTCCAGACAACTCGCACGCAAACATGGGGACCCTGGTGAAGGGTAGCCCATCGACCTCTGAAGAAAGCAATCCCTCACCAGCGCCTGCAGAAGAGCCTGCGTCTGCGGAGGCGCCTGCTCCTGTCACCTCCGCACCATCTCCTCCTGCCAAGCAAGAGTCTGATGTCAAAACCACTGAGCCCGAAACGCCTGCAGCTGTGCCTGAGCCCCAAGAACCGCCACCCACTCCCATCCGCCTGTCCTCTGTAGCTGGCTACGATGGGCGCGTCAACGACATTGTATACTGCCCACCCTCCGTTCGCTCAGACCATAACAAAGCAGTCATCTATTTTGGAGGAGACGTCCAGGTATTTTCCTTCATTCATATAATAAATTAAAAAAAAAAATATTTCTTATAATTCGTCTGATCTAGGATCTTCCTGAAACTATGGAGGCACACAGAGAGAACAAAAACTATGCCAAATGGAACTTAGTAAATACTTCGTTAATTTTACACACGTACTTTCCCGAGATGCACATCATCGTAGTGAGACCAGCTAGGTGAGTGTAAAATCGTTAAGTTCAATCCTTAGATAATCGGTATTGGCTTGAAGCAATAGGTTTCTCCATTAGCATGCAAGCCCCCCAAAGTGTCTTATTTTCATTGTTTGTTGATCCAAATTGAATTGTTATTTAGGTCAACAACACCCAAGCTTGCAAGTTTCATGGAACTAGTCTCGTCCGATATGGAACATAGCAGGTCAGTTTCAATAAATCGCAATACAATTATTGGATCAGCAAGCAACAACTAAATTTGTGTGGCGCCTGCTTGTCTCACGGCGCTCGCATTGCCCAATTTCAGAATGGAATTCAAGACGTTTAGCTGCTACGACAACTTCGTGCCAGGCAACAACTGCGGCGCTCCCGAGCACACGCCCACCCACTACGCCCTTCAGCATCTAGAGCGCCTCCTGCAAGCCACATCACAAAGGGTACGCACCCTGACTGTTCAGCAGCTGGGCGTTGGCAGAAGTCCCTCGCCGACACCTCATTCAGCGACACCTCCAGAAAAGACAGAACAGGAAAATGGAGAAAATCCAGAGCCCGGCCCAAGTAAACGTAAGAAGATTCATCTTTCCAAATTTGAGGTTTTTCTTATTTGTAAAATATTCCAGCAACCCGTTGGTGGCAGGAGGACATAAACCTGGACAAGGCAGACTTGACTTTAGTTGGGTTCAGCAAAGGCTGTGTAGTGCTGAATCAACTATTGTACGAGTTCCATTACCTAAAAACGTTAACTCCGGACGACGACACCATGATGAAACTTGTCAGTCGAATTCATGATATGTACTGGTAAGTGAATTATTACATTGAATTTTGTAGAGATTTATGACATAAATGAAATTATTTATGATAATGTTTAAAATTTTAATTCCATTTTTAGGCTGGATGGTGGTCATGCAGGTGGAAAAAATACGTGGATCACTTCGCGGTCGTTGCTAGAGACTCTGACTAGACTCAACATTGGTGTGCATGTCCATGTCACACCGTACCAAGTACAAGACGAGCGGAGGCCCTGGATTCGCAAGGAGGAAAAGATGTTTACCGAGTTATTGCGAAGATTAGGTGCTCCAGTGACTAGAATTTTGCACTTTGAGAATCAACCTGCGTCATTAATGACGCACTTTGAAGTGCTTTCGGTTTTCAGACAAACACAGAACCAAAACAACACGGGAAATTCTGTTTCGACGCCTGCTTCCTCGACGACGTGAACTTGAAATTTTATTTTTTGAAGTCTCCCAAGGTTGTAAAAATAATTTTTGAAGGCAGTCTAATAGTAACTTTTAAAAGCAAAATAAGAGCCTTTCGACGTCAATACTATTTTTACCAATTTTCATGGTAAATTTTAATCCTATGCTCCAGCTGAAAGGCCAATTATACTTAAGATTCCTTGTTCAGAGATTTTTTAATTTATTTCTTGTTGCTATAAATTAATTTGTAATTGTGGACGGCCATGAATTACCATCCCGAAAACTCCTATGTTCTGCAAAGGCTTGTATCAAAGGAAAAATGCATATTTTTAAAATGACAGTACTCTTACGGATGCAATTCAATATTGAAAAGTACAACATTGTGTAGTATTTTTTGCCACGCAACAACGCAATACATATGATTTATTTTGCCTTTAAAATTCAGGCAGATCACTTGAAATGTAAAACCATTGGAAAATTAAAATTGTATAGTTAGATTTCATAAAAAAAAAATGTGCTTGTGCCATACCTCACAAGCTTTTCATTTTAATGGAAGTATGTACAGCTTCATTTCCAAATAAATTATAAATTAATTAAAACTAAAAATAAGTTCATTTAATTTTACCAAATTGACCTAATGTATATATTTGTACCTATTACCTGTTCTTTTTATGTTTGAGTTTAGATTTCAGATAATTTGGATGTATGTTTGTGTTTGTGAAATGGTTTGGATCAGTTTGGATTTCGGAATAACTCATGACTGTGTTTTCAATGGGAGTTAAATTATTGACAAAAATAAATGAGAGATTGTTAGGATTCCAAAGTAAATTTTTCATTATTTTAATTAAATGAAATGATGAGATTGAAACTTTGCAATTTTTCACTGGAGAATCGGTGACTGGGTTTGCAAGCTAATTATTGGTACAATTTTTTGTTAAGGATCTCCTTTCTCCTTCGTGCTCTCCCCTCCGAACGGGAGAAAACAGCTGCGCATGTTATCGTGGACAGTTTCTTGACAACAAGATAGAAATAAGGATTCTTGAAATTAAACTTCCCCGATGCGTGCTACTTTGGCACTGATTTAAACATTTGGACGTCAATCGGGGTAATTTGAATCATGTAAGTATAATGCTTTTAAAAATTGCATAAGCAAACCGTACATAGAATGAGCAGATTTACTCGAAACAAGTCTGACGCTCTCACTCTTGTCTTGTTCTTATTTCGATATCTAATACGCCATTCCTCGTTTCCACATTTCTGTATTTTTTATGTTGAAAAGTTAATTTTACATTTCCAGAGATGCAGCCCAATGTCGGATTGGACGGCAAGATTCCAGTGTTTGTTTTCCCGAATTCGATTTCATTTTACTTAGAAGACCAGCGTACTCACAAGCAAGTGCTCACCCTTTACAACCCCTATGAGTTTGCTATCAAATTCCATGGTAAGCGACCCTTCACTGAAAGCTAGTCATAATAATAATAAATATATTTCAGTTTTGTGTACCGCACCGAAAAAGTACTCGGTGGTGGACACAAGCGGAAGCGTTGCTCCCAAGTGCTGCGTAGATTTGGTTGTCAGGCATAAACAACCTACGATCACAAACTGCCACCTTCAGGACAAGCTGAGGATCCAGGTCCAGGAAGTGGGAAATAAGCAGGTAAACAATTAAATATTTTTTTTATATTAGTAAATTTTTTTCCGTCATTCCGTTTTATTCAGGTTATTGGGAAAAGGGACGTCCCTGCATGTCTATTTCCTGGCAAGCCTGACCTTGATGATGGCAAACAAGATGCAGAGCAATTTGAGCAGCTTACAGGAAATCTTCCAATTCAGGGAAGCCAGCTCATAGCTAGGCCAGGTTAGACTACCAGATTTGTTATAAATAGTTGTTTATCATGTTCAAACCAGGTTCGACCAAGTTATTCCTAATTGTATATTATTTAATTTAATTTCTCATTTATACTAATGAATATATTTTTTGAACAGAGTAACAGAATTATTATTTTTTAAATATAATTTTGCTAATTTTGATATAATTATTTTGATTGACGAATGTGATTTTTTTTTCAGTTCGACAGCAACTTCCAGGCGGTACTAATTACATAGCTGTGGCAGCAGCTATTGCTTGCATTTTGGCCCTGATGATGCCCACCGAAGGTGACAAGCAATCCAAACTGCCGCTCTACCTCCACTTGTCGGTGCACATGAAACTTGTTTTTGCCTACGTTCTGGGATTAGTCACCATGGTGATCCTCCGACCGTCATGAAAAATCATTTTGAAATCTGAAAAGCCTCGTCTCCTTCTCTACCAGCGAACCAACAAATTTTGATTCACAAAAACTTTTCCTGGTGCGTTATTTTAACAAATTGCCAAATAATTAAGTGTATTTTGGTCCCATGTCGCAAGGTACTGTCTCGATGTTCAGTGTGACTGTCGCATTTTTGCTTCACTGTGCTCTCTATTCTCACAGGGCCGAGTTAGGATTTAAACTTTGAAAACAGTGCCTTTTTTATATGCTCCTCTTTAATTTTGCCTTTCAACTGGAATTTTTGTTCACCTTGGACTTCTGTAAAATTCACTTGAATTTGAATCCTTTCATATGTTTCCGTCTGTGGTGTGAAGATAAAATAATACCATCTCTTATTATTTATGGCTAGATTATTAAGTCAAGTTCCAAGTAAAATGTGATTCTATAAAATAAAATTTGTGTGATTTTAAAGCATTGGATTAAAGTTCATTCATTTTGTTTTAAATCCATTTGTTTATTCGTAATTATTGTAACCATATATATCCAGTTCAGAGAAGGTAGGAAATTCTGTAAAGCCAAAATTACAACAGCAAAGTTGATTTGATCTTGAAGCATTAGATTTGTTGCTTAATTAAAAAAAAAATGAATCTATTGGACTCGATTAAACTTTCAGGCCAATCGCCAAACAACTGATAAGTTAATTGTTCGCCACAGGGTTAGGACGTCACATTGAGGCTTCTCAACTAAATAGATCTGGTACATTGGGTCTTTCTCTCACTCAGTTATGCAGGTCTTGGAGGGGGGCCTCCTTTCCAGGTTCTGTAAAAACAATTAAATTAATTAATGTCTTCTAAAAATTAAGCTGAAAATTGTTTATAGATTAAAATTTATCTATCTAGTGAAATTTTTAATCATTTAAAATTACTCTAACAATACATTCTAGCTTTTATTTGAAGAGCAAAATTTTCACCTGAGATGCTCATCATTTCTTTCCTAGGTTCAAAAGTTAAGGTAAAAATGAACAGAAGTATCGTTACAAATTGCTTTTCAACTTACTTGAGACTTTCATTGTGTGTTTTGTATTCAAGAATTGTGTTTGGAGGAAAGTTGAGCACTCTTTTTAGCGTGTCTCTAATGCGTGCTGTCGTTGACTGATCCGATGAAGTTCTGTTCCAAACCGAAATGAAGTCTTCCTGCAAATAATATAATACAGAGTGTTGGTATTTAAAAGTTTGTTTTTGGAAGATTTTACCTGAAATCTCACAGACACAACAACCCCGCAGATTTCCTGTCCGACCATGAACTGCTCGCCAAGCATCGCCAGCAACAAGTTTTCCCAACATCTCGACACAACCCCTTTTCTTAGTCTCACAATCCACTTCCCGCCTCTTTGATTTGCTTCATCCTATGATTAAAATAAATTGAGAATCTATTTTGTTATTATAAGTTATCAATCAAACCTCCCACATTGGTTTGATGCCGTCCTTAAACACGTGATAGTCAGAGTGTCCTTGCAACTCTGAAGGTCTTAAAAGGTGACTGTATAGATTCCAGAACTGCTCGACAGTTGCAAATCGACCGACCAGCTTGAGGTTCTGGTCGTAGTTGTGAACTGCCTGCTGCTTGCCAGGGGTTCTTCGGCTGAACCAGAAAGCGTAGGCGCACTGCAGTCTGTGTTCTCCAGGAGGAATTTCGATGTCAGGCTGCAAATTCAAGAAGAATATTAAAAAAAGAACATAGAAATAGAATATGTCTTGAAGTTGAAAAAATAATACAAAACAATGAAAATTTAAAATAAAAGAAGTTGTAAAGATTATTTTTTGTTAAAATTTCCTTTCAGGGAAGATTAATTTTAAAATTAACAAATTTGATATTGTTGAAATTAAATTTTAGAGTAATTTTAATATTAAATTGGATCCAGATGGATGAAATTCAGGATGCAAACTACATAATGCAGTTGAGCTTACCAAGCGTTCTTCTTTGTGGGCTACCTCAGATTTTTTAGGCACATTTTCTTCCTCGCCTGAATCGTCGGAGGTTTTGAGACTGCAAAACACAAAAAGACTTTGAGAATAAATCGCAGAAAAGCAAACATTAACGCAACTGAACCATGTGGAGGAAAAATGTAAACAAAGATGAAGAACATTTTTTTGGTTCGAAGAAGAGAGAGTAAAACTTACGCGTCGAATTTATTGGCCATCGCGGACAAAAAAGTGTTAATATCACTGATGAGGAAAAGTCGGTCGAGCAAATGAAAAGCGTGAGAAAGGCAATTTGCTGGCAAGTTTGCTTTTCTTTTGCAGTTGTCCTTGATTTGATGAAAGATGAAATCTGAAATTGCGAACAAATGAAGACGCAGCGCCGTGGCTGCTTTTGAGGAAAATTGGCGCCAAAATATAAATTTTACCCTCGCCAATAAATTCAAAATCCTGTCACTTAAGAGTTACATGATAAGAAAAAAAGAAATGTAAATAAGATATGAATAACAGTGAAAATATATCTGGTTCCCAAAATTTCGGGAAAACCTATTATTTTACACTCGCACGCAAATATAATTATGCAACCTGCAGCAAGTTATATTCGTGCCGGTTGCATACTCATGAAATCGGCAGGCGGTAAGTTCGGAAAGTCGTCCGGGAAAAAATTATTTAAAAAATATAAGCGAGTGATGCATTTAAAAATTTGTACACGCAGATTATTCAGTTCATGAAACTTTTATCGATTTTGGAGAAGAGAGGTTTATCTCTTTTTCTATTTTTTTGTTTTTGTTTTTAGAAGCAATCAATAATCATTGTCCGATTTTTATCTTTTTGAATAAAATTCAATAAATTAAATTTTATTTATGCTTCAATTTTTCTGCAATTAATTTTTTAGAATTTATGGAAAGCATTTAAAGAAAATCTTGTTCATTATAAATTAAAAACCTCAAAAATTGTTTATTCAATTGTTAAAGCTCGCTAAGTGAGGAAAGAATTAGAATCTACGATCATTATTTTATTATTTTTTTTTATTGCTAAAAAAATTATATCAATATCCTCTGAACTAAAAATTAAGTGCTTACCAGTCTCAGTATCAACACAATTTATTAAAGAGCCAATACAAATAATTACATTCATCTAGCAACATAAGAGGGACGGTGTGGTCAGTGGGATTTAAAAAAGAAGTGGTCTGCTGTGTTGTTCGTGGGCATGCATAATAACGACGAGAGAGAGGAGAGAAAAGAGAAGTAGTGGCATGAGAAATATTTAATTGATTTCAATTCGTAAGGTAGAATGGAATGCACTTAATTGAAGTGCCCCTCTGTCTGGAGGCGAGATGCATTTTAATATTACCCTGCTGCCGTGAGTCGGTCGGTCCAGCTCTTTTTTTCTACTCCTCATCTTCCTTCAGATGTGTGGCACAAAAAGGCAACCTTCCTGCCGTGCAACCATCATATTCCGGGCAAAAAATCATCAAATCTCGAACAGGCACAGGTATCTATATTCTTTGAGAAAAATAAAATGCATCAAGGGTCAACACAAAAAACACACATTGTCTGCGCTGGAATAAAGTAGAGCTTCCGACACAAAGGATTGATTGACGCTCCTCCATACCTGCACGTTCACGACCAAGTCAATCGACAGCTGGAAAAAATGATTCCCAAGATATGTGCGGTATAAAATTAACGCTCGCGCAATCTGAGCACCAGGAAAGTTAAGAGAATAATCGTGTGGACCTGGAGGAGCGTAATTTGTTGGTCACACGCAGCTATTCAGGCAGGTGTGAGCGACTTTTAATTTTGATTTCTACCGTCATCAAATGATATCATCAGGAAAGTATTACCTTGCCATCTTGGGGCTCTCAGTTGAAAAAGTTTTTTTTCTTATTGAATAACCGTAATTTAAATAATATTAAAACAAAATAAAGAAATTTATTTTATTGAAACACTAAAAAATTAAGCCATTAAACTAAACAATTTAATTTAAAATGTTTTTTTAAATCAATTAAAAGTTTTTTTTATGTATTTGTTTCAATTTTAATATTGAATTTACCTGTATACGTATTTTATTTTTTAATTTACGCATGTCATTATTTATAACTAGAAGGTAAAAAAAAATACAATATATGGAGAAACTCTCCCAAGCCCCTCCAGGGAAGGTGCCATTTTTCATACAACTTTGAGAGAGTTGCAAGAAGAGAGACCGGTAATTGAAGGCAAAATAGCGGTCGCAAGATGCACCTCATCTTATTCCTTCGCGAGATATATAAATTTACTATAGGAGAGGAAACCTCAAATTATATTGCTTGCAGCAGGAATGCGCGGCGCGCGTAGCTTACTCCTCCAAATTGCCGCGAGCGTTATTATTTATGATTATTATTTCAATATATATATATATCGAGAGGCAAGGCAGGAAAGGGACCCTCGCCGCAGCAGTACAAAGTGATGCAATGTGGGAAAGTCCTCGATCGCGCGGCACCAAAGATAAATTGCATCTAAAACCAGTGTTTGTGTTGGCCTGAGTGCTTTTTATGTTTTCAGCTTTTAATAACTATCGTGTGTGTAGTACCGGAGTTAAAAACTGCCTTACACACGGCGCACGTATATAGTATAGACAGGCGATTTCGGTTTCTGTTCTGAGAAGGGAAAACAACCATAACTCATCGGCGCAGAAAAAAATACAAAAAATAGCGTCCTGGTTCTTTCCGATGGGGGTTTAATTAGCGATTCCGATTTTTCGCTCGAAAGTGCAGCCCTTTGCTTGTTGCTGCGGACGATTAATCTGTCAGAACAAGCATTGAGGGCGGACCGTTTATTTTTACATGGCTCATACATCTCCTGTACTAGACACACAAGGTTCGCAATAATTAACAACGTTTTAGCTAAGAGAGAATGAGGAACGACTAAAACAGAGGTCAAACAACTTCCAAAAGTAGGTAAATAATTATGAAAAGGGAACTTCAAATGATAACTCAAAATTGAGACTTTAATTTCATTGAATGATATGAAATGAATGGCGCCAGAATTTGTCTTACTCGCCCAATTTTTCTTGTTTTCAAAAAATGAACAAAAAAATCTGTAAAAATGAATAATTTTGAAAAACAGATGAATAAAGGACACTAGGGTAATTAATTAAATTAAATTTGAGTATTGTTTGATGTTGGTTGGGTTTTAAATATCTATTTTTCCCCCCCATTGAATCTATGAATTGCTTAAATTGTACCAAAATGCTCATCAAAGCTCTGTGAAAAATAACGAAAATTTTACTGCCCTAAAAGAGTTAAAAAATGTCTTCTTTGCGATTTGTCTGCGTGCCGGGGCTGCTGCGAAAAAGTTGAATGCACTGGTGCGGTGAGTGTGTGTGTGTGTGTGTGAGAAATTGGATTCAAATAAAAAAGCCAACCGGATCTCTCATCAATTTACGACTTGGCCAAAGGCAGCGGCGTCTCTTTTCGCTCGTCCGCCAAAATAACCAACAACTGTATGTTTTCCTCTCTGCTGAGTGGCACTTGTGACTGTTTGAGCACCGGCGCGACCAGCGAGAGAAGGACTGCTGGAAATTCAGCAAAAAATAAAAAGCACTAATTACGAAGTGAGGCGCGAGTGAGAAGAGGATTAAAAAATAAAGCGGCGATTAAAATTACAGTGTGTGGGAAAGTTATTTGAATTCAAGCCAAGAAAACAGGCTTGTCTTTTGTAATTCCACAAAGAGCTGAGAGAGCTGCCGTCTGCTATTATCTTGTGATTAAAAAGCAGCCCAAGTGAGGCAATTTGGCGGAGAGGAAAAATAAAATGTACCAGAGAAAGAAAGAAGAGGCGCGTTATTTTTTCCGAGTGTCTGGGCCGGGCAGAGCAGCGACTTGGACTTTACGTAATGAGAGCAAGAAGTGCTCTTTTTGCCGTGCATGAAAAGAATCCAGCAGACTCGATCGATAAATCAAGACACATAAAAAAGACTGGTTTAATTAACTTTTTTTAGCTGGCAGGCCTTGATATCACGTGTTGGAGGAACGGATTAAAAATAATAAACCTCTGCGCTGCGCTAGAGAGCTCTGAGATCATTGGCAGCAAGAGAAGTTGCTGCGGCTGTAAAGAATAAGAAGAAGAAGCAGCCGCCGCGCCAAGAGTAGTAGGGATATTATATGTGCTGCCTTTATTTTATATACAGCCGGTCCAGGGAAATCCACGGCTGCTCCAAATCATTTTTTCCGGAAAATTACTTTCAATATGATACGGGTTTTGCTTGTTCCCTTAAAAATTTCTTGTTTAAATTTCATTTATATCTTGCAATTCCAACTAGTTTTCCATGCTGTTCCAAATCTATGATAACTTGATCAGACATATTGGTGCTTTAATTATTTTTAACAAAGAACAATGAAATTAAGTAAATAAAATAACGTTATTAAAAATAATGCCTTTGAATTTTAAAATGCAAGCTTAAAATTACATTTTGAGAGAAATATATATCACGATGTTTGAACAAAGTTTTTAAATTACAAAAAAAAAACCATCTAAATTATTGTGCTGAAGATAAACTGCCAATTATTTTCAGTATCCATGTGCTACAAGTTTTAAATGTTAAATTATGCCTAAAATTAGTACAACTGTGTTTATTATTTATTTTATTTTTTTATTTTGGTGTCTGAAGTAGAAATTTGTCCTCAACACAAAATTTTTATCTAATAGTGGCGTTCCCTCAATCATGTACTCCGGGGTTTATATAAGGTACACACATCGCCAGGGCAGAAAGAGTTGAAAAATACGGCAACTTCTGAGGACGCCGAGGGGGAACGGGAATCGGCCGCTGGTCCGCATTCCAGCTCCTAACATTGCTGCTGCGATCTTCTTCTCTTCGCCGTTCCAACCTTGGACGCGGATTATTGTTATTATTTGGAGATCAAAAAAATAATGCTGCACTTCCAAGCAAATTTAAGGAAATTTTCTTTGACACACACCCGATTGTGCAAAGTGGAAAATGTAAGAATTTGCAACGTATTAGCACGTTTAAGTTTTAAATAAATTCAAAAAGATAAATTTACAATCCTGACAATTTTAAATCAATTATCTAACGCATTAGTTAATTAGTTGTAAAAAAATCCTCAAATTAATTCCCTGAATTCTTTTAATTAGATTTCATTTGGAATCCAATGAATAAAATGTTTCTGATGTGTTGATATTATAATGACTTTTCCGAAATTTTTTTAAATTTCTGTTTTATTACAATTTAAAATACTTTTTTGTCAAACTCGATCGTTGAAGTCTCCGACTTTTATGCGGCTATTTTTAACGACGACGGCGATTTGAATCACAGGGTGTGTAGCCTGAGTCGGTTGGTTAGTTAGTCGTTAGTCGTTAGTCCGTACGTTGTTCCCAATCCACATTCGCACAGTCATACTATAATACTTTGGTGTACGGGGTCTACGTCACTTGAATATACATATAGAGAAGTCTGGCCGGAGAGCGAGGTGGGCCGCTCGGCTGGCTATTGGTCCAGCAGCGCAACTGGCGAACATGACACAAGTAGATTAAAGCACCCGAGGCACCAGAAACCTGTTCCTCGCGTCCGAAGCCGGCGGTGCCGAGCAACCGGATGACGTCACCCGCAGCCCAAGAGGAAGGCGCCGACCTGCGGCTCCGGAGTCGCCACTTGATGGACTGGAGCAAGACACGACTCTGCGCAGAAATTCTATTCCAGCCAATGATACACGGAGAGCCGCAATTAGATTTTAATCAAGCTGGCGTCTCGCCTGCAAACTTATAAGAAAGAAAGAAGCTGAATAATAAATAATTTGATGCAGAAATTGCTCTTTGTCGCGAGCAAATTTATTTTTTTTTTACCGTTGCTGGTAATGGAATTAAAAATTTCCTCATTATTATTTACACTCTCTCGGAGAGAGAAAAAAGTTCGGTATGTGATGAAAGGCAATCTTGCCGACACGGTGTAGAAAAAAAAATATACAAACTAACGTGACGCGGGTAATCAAAGTTTGGTCCGTATGTAGCACAAAACCACATGATTCAACCGGTGCTCGCATTGTGATGTGTGAAATTGAATTTTTCTCCGGCTCGTCGGCGAAATTGGATTGCATAGCCGGTTAATTTGAAGAGTAAAAAAAATATCCAGTCGAGATTATTAACTTAATGAATAGTCTAGGAATTGGAAACTAATGCCGAAGATTGCTTGGTGTGATATAGTGAGAAGAACCAATATCATTAGTGTCGTGTAATTAAACACGCAGCCACATAATTTTTAATTAACAAAAAGCATCGAACGAATTTGACTTTCAAATTATATCCATGGCAGCTGCTTCGAATTGAACAAACTCGCTTGTAGAATTTGGCAAAAAAATTCCTCTGTCTTGTGCTGCGTATGTATTATATAAAAAAAATTAATTCCACATAATTGCTAGTCAGGCAGAATTGCCGTACGTAATTCATGTACGGGTTTTTGCGAGACATCTTCTCTGAAACCACCGACCGACTGCCAACAGCAGAGAGTAATTTATTCAGCAAGAAATAAGAAACAAAATCTACGCTGTGCGGAGAGCAGAGCAAGGAGATAAAAAATTGAATCACATCAGAGGAGAGAATCAAGCAGCGAGCTGTGCAGCACTTTAATAACATGGCCGCAGGTGGATTTGGCAGATTTGATATTATCTTGCGCAAGCCCTGGTGGCAAATCAAAAGAAACCGGAGCTAAATACTTTCCCACTGATGTGTGTAAAATTTATTCCGCTCGAAACCGAGCCCTGCCCAAAGAAGAACATATTTGCCCGAAACTTGATTCGGTTTCTCACGAATTTTGAAAAATAATTTGTATTCAAGCCAAGTTACGAGACTCCAATTAATATGTAAATCGATCCTCGGTGGTCTATATATTTATTAATCAAGCATTTATATGCAAAATAAACAGGGCAATCAATATGCAAATGAAACGCTCGGTTTTTAATCAAAAAGCGGAATTTTTATTTCTTTACAAGTACACATAATATAAAATTTTCGTTCTTTTGTACATTTTGTAAAAGGCAATTTATTGAATGCATTTATTTACCGTATCAAAAATTCAATCTCCGCGCATCAGTAAACCTTAGAACCACATTTTTTAAAATTCCTCTTACTTAAACTCTGGACGAACTATAACAGAGAGTATTTTATATAAAAATAGTCAGTTTCCTTGCACTTGTAAAAATCATTTTGTGTTGGGATGATGAGTTTGAAGAGATCGGTGTTCACGTCGCTCTGTGCAGCAAAAAACGGCCACTCACTGTTTAAAAGTCCTACGACGACGCTCATATCCTCGCTCAAAATTACATTTCTCGGAAAAGCACGCGGCTTTTCTATCAGCGGCGTCCGTTGGGGCTTAAAACATCTCTCCTTTTCTAACTCGATAAATATTATGCTTTCCGTATTTAAGCAAACAAGTAAATATATTAGAGGACTTCTTTGAAATGCGCATTAGTGCTCTATTGACACAGCAGCAAAAAACACGTCCACACAAACGCGCACACCAGCATTTTTACAGCAAAACCTGCAGCCGCGCATCTTTTTTCAATTTTTTCTTATAATACAATTAAGTGACGAAAAAAATTCACTTTTAAGTCACAACGCACTTTTTTGTTTGCCGCTCTCCGAGAAACTGAATCAAAGGAAATTGTTATTACACGCTAATTCTTGAGAATATTATGTAAGAAAAGGTTCAGAGCAGAGAAAAAAGTGAGTTAATGAAAGGCCTCCGCGGCGAATTTTTTGTCTAAGAGTTGATAATGGATGGATTCCGCCTGCAAGGCCTTGATATTTACACAGAACTGGCGTAACTACATAAATATAAAATGTACTCGTGCTAAAATATTTACAAAATATATTTAGTCGGCTCAATTAGAAAATTTCGCTCAACGGTTCGATAAAATGTTCAAAAATTGCAACGGCAGCGCCCAAGCCGATTTCTTTATAAATTTATGGAATTTGTATCAATTTCTTTTAACCTTGAGCAAAACGTTGCTATGATACACAATCAGCACCTTCGACCGTCCGTTAACTTTAAACAAAAGTTCTCCGTCATTTCCGCATGATGTCCTCGATGGTGAAGCCCTGCAATCTGGGCGGCGGGATCCTCTGTTGCGGAATGTTGGGGATGTTGTTGATCTGCGCCGGCAACGGTGGCGGCGTCGGCGGTTTTGTACTCTGGACTACTTTGGACGGCGGCGACTCGACCGGAGGCGGGACGTGGGACGAACAGGAGGGCCCTTCCTCAGGGTCGCAAGGGTGTTTGGCCTCGACGGTCAGGTTCTGCGGGCTCGTCTGCGGGGCCGGCGTCGTCTCGTCCAGGGCGGACTCGCTGGTGACGGTGGCCGGTTTGGGGCCGAAAATGCGGTGTCCGGACGGCCGGTCGAGGAAGCTGGGCCCTGCCGGGGGGTAGCTGGGCCTCAGGTAGGCGGCCGGGGGCGGAGGGGCGCCCCAGCAGGCGGCCTTGCGCTGCAGGAGCTGCTGCTGGCGGAACATCTCGGCGCTGGTGCCGGGACGGTCCGCAGGGCCGGCCGGACCCTTGTCCGGGCCGCCGGACGGCGGCGACTCGGAGGCGGGGACGTCGCCGACGGTGTGCGTGAGGGCGTGGCGCCGGAGGTCGCAGTTGCGGCGGAACACTTTGCCGCAGCTGGTGCACTCGTAGGGCTTGTGGTCGGTGTGCGTGAGCAGGTGCGTCTTCAGGTTCGAGCGCTGGTTGAACGAGCGCGCGCACACCGGACACTTGTGCGGACTCTCCTCCATGTGCAGGATCTTGTGCACGGCCAGGGTGCGCGACTGGCAGAAACCCTTGCCGCACTCGGTGCACTTGAACGGCTTCTCCTTCGAGTGGATGTACCTGCGAACACAAAGCAAACCGACCAATCAAGTGAAAGTTCTCGAATGCAATTAAAATTATAAGTGTGCAATTTTATTATCCGCCTGCTAATAAAGTGAGGCCGCTCCTTATTTTATGATTTTTTTTCTTTCTAACTCCTCTAATGCGATGATATCACACGCGCGCGCGCGGTCGAAGGTGCCGAGTGTTTTATTTTGCGGAGGAATGGGAGACGAGTTTTGCAACCTGAGATTTTTCTATTATATTATAATATGCGAAAAGCTTAATTTGCAGCATGTGGCTTCCAAAGAAAGGATATGCTTGGGAGAACGTTGAGTGTTTATACAAAAGTTGTTGAGGCAAATTTCGAGTGTCAACTAACAAGCGAGAAGGTCGATCTTAATTAGCACCATCTATGGCCGTGGTGTTGCTCGTAAAGGTTTGCAAGTTGTAAATTGATTGGCAACGAATTGGTTGTTATTTCTGTGGCAAGCAAGAGCCCAAACGTGACCTATTGTTGACCAAATTAAAACAAACAGCATAAAATTATTATTATAAAATATAAAAAAAAATTAAGATAGATTTTAAACAAAATATTTTACATGATATTATTTTTATTTTTATTAAAATGCATGGATTAAATTGAAGATTGCTAATTTTTACCAGCACACTAACTTTTTTCTAAATTTATGCTTTTTAAGAATAAAATTCAGCCTAACAACTTCATAATATCGTATTTTTAGTGTGTTAGTGTCCAAGTGAGCGCGTTTTGGACCATCAAGCTGCGTTTTCATCCATCTACGAGCATCAAATTAATCCATGGCCGAGCGAGCCGCAGCGAGAGAGAAAGATATCGCGTGTTTAGGAAACGATTGCGTGCTCTCGGCCGGTCCGGACCCTGATGCTGTATAGCCTTAGAAAAGGTGACGTCAGCCCTCCTGCTTCACGCCGGGCTTTAGAAGAAATACATGAGTATATAATTCAGAGCCGCCGAGAGTGGATTTAGAAAAGTGAGTGAGCTCGATGTATCAAAAGGAGTAAAATAATAAATGACCGGCCGTCTGCGCGTTATATAAAGCAAGAGCATTGTCCGGCGTGGCGCACATTGCTACGTCCGAAGCGGTGTACAAAGCGTTTGGAATGCAGATGTGGCGCCGAAAATAAAGAAGAGAAATAGAAAGAGGTGGATCGGATTCGGAGTTCGCGAGAAAACACTCGCAAATATTGATGGAGCGTGCGACGCCCGAATGGGTTTTACTTCTGGGAAGAAGAGGCGAAGTGTGCTGATAATTTAATTAGCACAAAGAACCGCGAGGTCGAATTTTATTTTTCTCAAAATTTTATATTAGAAGAGCAGGTAATAAATATTCAACAAAAACACTATTGCTGAATATGTTCATTTAATTGGAAAAAGTCTAATTATTTGTATAAAAATAATTTAAAAATTAAAAATTATTATTACTTGATACACAGTATTATGGACAATTTTTAATGTTTCTAAAATGAAATAAATAAATTATTTTGCAAAATTTAATAAATTAAATATTAATTATATAATAGATTTAACTATTTTTAATAAATTGATAAAAATAAATTTTAAAAATTAAAAAAAGTATTTAATTAATTGGTAAATGTTATTTTAAATATTTTAATGACAACTGTAAAATCAATTATTATTTATATTATTTGTTTTGTGTTTAATTATACTAATTAATATTAAAAACAATCTAATAATTTTTACTTAAAACTTTGAAAATAAATTTAAAGAAATAAAATTTACTTAAAAAACAAGCAAAACAGTTAATGCTGCTTTAATATAAAAGAGTTAATTAAACATTATTATCTGAATTAACAATTTTGAAACTTATTTTAATAATTTTTTAACAGTTAAAGTAAAATGATTGTAAATTCGAGGATTAAAAAACAAAAACTGTGTCAACATTTCTAACTTTTGGTTTTAGTAGCTTGGTGAGTCAAGTTTTACGACCGAACGTGTCATAAATTCTGCATTTTTAACTCTCCTTTGTGATTTGATCGATATAGCTGCCGCACCACATAAAAGTGAAAATCCACTCTCTGAAGGGGCCCTTTTATATTTAAGTTACCCACAATATCACTCTGCGGGGAAACGCAACCCTAATTAGCCCAAGGGCACACACACACAATATCTGCGCTGCGAGATGCAAAGTGAGCCGGGAGATTGCGTGACTCGGGCGTCCCTGATTGTGTTAGATTTCCTCCTAGATCGAGCGAAACGACGGAAAAATGAAGAAAAAATGATATTCGTGCCGAGCAGGTCAAGTGAAGCGAGCAGAGGCGATTTTTCCCCTCGTTTAATTCAGCACCATCGACAGCCGCGCTCATCGAGTTGCAGCGCAGGTGAAATAAGACACCCCATTTACATCTCTCGGGTCGCGAGGAGCGAGCGATGGTCCATTTTATTTTATTACACGAGCGTATTTATGGCAGTCGTAAAAGTGCAGCAGCATCGGCGTGTAATTAGAAATACACGCACACGTATATGTAATGCGCCGCGCGCGCGATCGGTCCGCCGAGATAGTAATTTATGTGGCGGAGAGGAAAGAATTAAGAAGATGCGCTCGTCTGCTCGGCGATTTGTTCGCAGACGAGTGCACTTGAGCGAACTAATTAACTCTTACGTACACACGCCATGCTACATGCGCTTTTCATTTTCTACACTCGAGTTGGCGTGAAGAAGAAAAAAAATCAGCTAGAAGTGAAGAAATCCAGAATGTTGCTAGTTAGATTTTCTTTATAATAAATATTACATATTTCACTTTTAGTTTAAGTAAAATCAACTAATTTTTTAATGAATAGTGACAAAATATTGAAAAATTAAATTAATTAAGAATTTAATGAAGTTAGATAATTAAAAATAAACTAATTGTAAAAAATGTAATAATTAAGAGTGTAGAAAATGGGTTTTGTCTTAATTTAAAAATTCTTATTAAAATAACAAATAATGGTTCTTCCCGTTTTGAGTTTTTCAAACTAATTAAAAAAGTGCCAACTTCTTCTTCATTTAAGGTGATTCTTCTACGGGGTTTTGGCCAAAACTAGAAATGCTGCAATGGTTTCCAAATGATTCAGATTAAGATTTGAACTATTGTGTGATAATGTTTCAAGTATAAAAATGATTTATTTTCGCCCCATCGCTTCTTTACAAGGGGCCGAAGTAATGTCCGAAGGTTGAAAACGGGTAAAAATCCACGTTTTTCTACCTTTTTATGCTCGTAACTTTCCATTTTGCAAAGTAAACTATAATTTTCTAGATAGCTTTCGATTCGCAAGAAGTTAAAGTATCCAAAAATAGCAAAAAAAATATAACTCTTCTGTCATTTTATCACCCGCAGAGAAATAACATTTATAAATGGCCCGTTAAAATTAAAAAAATTTGATTTCTCAGGGGGTGATAAAATGACAGAAGAGGTATAATTTTTTTCCTTTTTTTGGATACTGTATCTTCTTGCAAATCGAAAGCTATATAGAAAAATATAGTTCACTTTGCAAAATGGAAAGTTACGAGCATAAAAAGGTAGAAAAACGTGGATTTTTACCCGTTTTCGAACTTCGGACATTAATATGGCCCCCTGTAAAGAAGCGATGGGGCGAAAATAAATCATTTTTATACTTAAAACATTAACACACAATAGTTCAAATCTTATAATCAGAATCATTTGAAATCCATTGCAGCATTTCTAGTTTTGGCCAAAACCCCGTAGAAGAATCACCTTTGCATAATTTCTATTAAAATTATGAAATTTGAAGTATTGATAGAAAAATCATTCCGTACCTGTGGTCCCTGAGGTGGTCCTGCCTGCGGAAGGCCTTTCCGCAGATGTCACACGAGTAGGGCCTCTCGTCCGTGTGCGTCCGCTCGTGGATCAACAGGTTGTAGCTTTTGGTGAACTGCCGGTTGCAGAACTTGCAGATGAACTGCTTCTTGGGCCTGGAGGCGCGTCCTGGCGCCCTGAGCAACCTTCGGTCGAGGTGCGGGAAGACGCCCGGAAAAGCAGCCCCCGCTGGAGGCGGCGCGCCACTGGTGCTGGGGGCGGGGGCCTGGTGCATGAGGCCGCTGGCGTTGGGGGCGGGCGGGGGCTGCGCGTTCCGCATGGCCGACATGTGCAGGTACGGACTGGCCAGGTTCTCCAGGAGGCCTGGGGGCGGCCTGGGCAGCATGGCCGCCAACATGGCCTCCTCCCTCAGGGCCAGTTCTTTCCTCTTGTCGGCCATCAGGGCCATCAGGTCGAAACTCTTGCGGCCGTAGCCGCTGGAGGTGCTCGGACCGGGACTTTTGTCCCTGGACGAGGACCGTCCGGGCGAGAGGTCGTGCAGAGACCTGGAAGGGATGACGGGCACAAAGGCCGAACTCTCGCCCCTGCCCAGGTGGGGCGCGTCCGACCTGCCGCGGCCCATCATGCTGGAGGCGGCGTGGTGGAAGGCGGCGATCGCGTTCGCCACAGCGGCCGAATCGCGGCGCTGCCGACCGTCCGAGTTGGCGTCTTTGATCACGGACAGGCCCCCCGAGGGGCCACCTTCGTCGTTGATCGGCATTCTCCTGGCGTTCTCAACTCATCCAATGGGTTATCTGAAACAGAAATTGCATAATAATTAGTTTGGGCTCATTTTGCATTTTAATTTAACAAAAATCCTAGAATATTCTACTACCAAGCATTGCAGCTAAGAAATCATGATAAATATGAAGAATAAAATATTATACTTAATTCAATTATGAATCAATTATTTTAAAAAAAAAAAAATGTGAATTTTATATGGAATTATTTTTTTCGGAAAAGCTTTTCAATTAAATGTATTTTCTTCCCACTCAATTTTTCATTTATAATTTTTGAATATTTGGATGATGTATCTCGTTGTAGGCAGAGATTGCAAAAATAATTTAATTAATTAATTTAAATTGTTACATCATTTCACTTTAGTAAGAAAAAAACTAAAAAGTATGTACATAGATGGATTTTAACCTAGTTTTTTGTTAAAAATTCCTCATTTAGTCTTACGAATAAATATAAAGATACTATTAAAGACCATTATTGGAACTGGAACAGGTGCTCAAAGAAATTTGCGTGTTGATAAATTACACTCTCATTCCCGGTGGCCCTAGTTTTTTTTTTTTTTTTTTTTTTTTTGCCAGCAACCAAATTACACCAGGAAAGTAGATCCCATAATATACAAATCAACCGCCCACAGCAATTACAATCCATATTTCTAGGACTAAATAATTGCACAGGGTAAAAACCCTGAATAATTCGCCATTACCATAAACCAAACAAAAAACTTTTACATCCGAAAGCGACGTGTTTTCATAATTCGGTGAGAGGCAAGTGCGTGAATCTGCATTTTTGCATGCAATCGTCGTCGTTCCTATGCGAGATTTTATATGGAAATAGACATAATTATAGGCCTAGACAGTCACGGAATGGGCTTTTGTGTCATATTCTGCCGAGGGAACTTTCATGCGCGGTGCAGGATGGATCGAAACCCACAAAACATGCACACGCCGCGAGAGTGAGGTAATATATAAATAATAATAACGCACCGCCGTTTTATTCCTGAATGCTTTTTCCAACCTGACGTTTTCGCCACCGGCTAAGCCGACTCGTTTTATTATTTTTTGTGCACAACTTCTCGTTCTCAGGTGGCTGTGGCGTTTCAATTCCTATTTTTTTTTTTTAAATCACGCTCGCCTGCTGCCATTCCACGTTGTCAGTTGGAGAAAGCTCGAGTTTGCATACCCGCGATTGACTCTTTCTTTGAAGTTAAATGTTGAAGTGGGACCACCGCGCGGACTAATAAAGGTTGGGTCCGCAAACTCTTGTCGACGAAATCCGAAACCAACTTGTGAGTTGGGACAAAATGAGTTCGAGCTCGGCTGCGTGAAATAAATTGCAAATTTTGCTGACCGCTCGCGAAATTTGACACCGCGCCATTATGCGAATTACATTCAGCTTTATTCGTAAACGTATATATTTGTTATTAAACATTTTACGACACCAGCAGCACCGCAGCTTTTATGATTTTGACCCGCAGTTACAGCGCTTAAAATTGAAACTGCGCTTTTGAATATGAAATTTAGTAGTTTTATTTACGACCCGAGATTACTTTACGAGCGTTATTTACGATTCAATAATTTAATCTGCGCAGTACCCGCAATTTTGTAATAATAATAATTTGTAGGCCGCTTTCTTTAAAATAATAACAACAATGAATAGAGATTTAGTAATAAAAATCCCTTAAAATTCTTGACGCACTATGAACTATAATATTGTTAAATAAATAAAGATATTTAGTTTATTCTTAAAAATACCTATTTTAGCGGTCATAATTGAGAATAAAAATTTAATGTACAATAAAAAAAGGTTTAAAGAGCCTTGTCAAAAAGGTATGAATTGACTTTATACAAAAACTAAAATTATATGGCGTACTTATGCAAGTAGAGAGAAGAACTTTTCTCGGAAAATCCGTTAAATTTTGATGACTTTTTAACTTACTTTTAATTTAGTTAAAAAAAATAAACATTACAATTCTTTTAAGCCTGTTTTTATGCAGTTCTTACTATTCCTGGAAAGCTCGATTGTGCTTCAGAAAATGAAGAAAATTGATAAGACCAAAAAAATATGTTTGCACTTTTCACTGCTCGTACTGTTAAAATTTCTAAAATTTTCCCAAAGCATTTGAAAAACAATTAAAAAATTCCCGTTTATTCAGCACTTATTTGTTATATCGAAGATCACTATATATTTTCATAAAAAGTTGTATTTGTAGTTATTTACAGCCACTGAATCACTGTAAAGGTACAAAAAATAAGTTTTTCTTAAGCCAGACGCCTAAAAAATAGAAAGTCCAATGAAAACTGTTTTTGTTTGCTCCAAGGGTGAGCGTGATTGGCAAACCGAGAACATATAATTCGTTCTTTTTCTCATGAGAAACAATTTTTCAAGCATTGTAAATAACTTCCTTGGGCAGCAGCAATTCGCTGGCGAGTGCAAAACCGCAGAAAAATCCCCACACTTGTATATAAAACTCCACCGCAGAGAGCCGAACACCATAAATAAGCCCGATTTTAATTAGAAACATTCCGGCGGGATTCGTGATCGAGAAGGCCTTTGCTGCAGCATCTTAATTGGCCCAGCATTTTTGTTCTCGGCGTGCAGTGTCTGCGGCAGCAGGTGTGTATGTTCTTATTACGCGCGGTTATTTTACATTATTATATACGAGAGCGCCGCTTTAAATTCGCAATCACTGTCCCTAATCATTGTTTATTAAGGCAGAACTCGATTCTCGATCAGATAAGCGTCGTCACTCGACAACGAAATATGTATGCAGCAGGCAGACAGAACAAGCGCAAAAATGTAGCTACACATATTTCGTTTTGTAAATCGAGTCCTACCTCTCTCGGAATGAGGCAAAAATAACGTTGCCGTGAGATCGCTAATAGATAAGAATTATGAAGTGGCGGTGTCAGTTTATTATACACATACGCACCGTCCGCCCACGTGTCTCCTTTTGCATAGAAAATTTATTCCGCCGAGCGCAATAAATATATATCGGGCTGCTTTTGAAAAATAAATTTTAATATAAATTTCGTCCGTCACTGAAAAATGAATGAGAGAGATGCACATTGTATTCTTTTCATAAGGTATAAACGCAGCAGGTTCTCCACTTTCAATGGCACTGACGATGGACTCGTATCGATAACGCTGCGAGAGAGAACACGGAGGTCAGAGGTCTGAGAGAGTCATGCGCTCATTTTTACTGTATCGGAAGCTGCCATCGTTTTTCTATAACGAGCTGCACACAGGCGTGATCCTTTATATACAGAAACGCCAGACGCGTCGGTGCGTAACTAAGTGATTGCAATTTGAGCCATCGTTGAATTGCAAAAATCATGTGCTTCGTCGAGGCTAAAGATCGAAGGTTTTGCAATGAATCTATTTACTTAATTGAAGGATGAAATACGGAATAAATAGAAAGGTAAGGACGATTGTTTCATTTGTTTCACTTCCTCCATCAAGTGGATATATAATTAAATGCAAATCATTTAATTAGCTGTAAAAATTATCAAGAGAGGCAAATTGATTATTAATTAAATTAGTTGAACGTTAAATTAATTTAAAATTTGTTTTAATTAAATAATAATGCATCATTTTCATATCTCCACTTTGATTAAATTAATCTAGAATTTACAGGTATAAAATAAATTATATTTTTCAAAAAATATTTACTCACTGTTGCAGAATATTGTTATTTTCCAATTAAATAAACCATTTATTTAAATGATTCCATTGAAAATTTACCTGTCACAAAATTTTTAAATTTAAAGAAAATATGGTGCTTTGAATTTAAAATCGGCTTTTCCTCGATGGGTTTTTGTGAGTTGTTTATTGTTTCAGGAAAACAATATCCTGCTCTACATGTTTCCGCTGCAGGCTGCAGCCATAATTCATGAGCTGCGAAAACATTTTGATAAAAATTTGTACAAATATAAATCATTTTCATTTTTCAAAAATTATTTTTCCTTCCAATTAACAATTTCGTGAAAAATTATTTACATCACAAATAATTTTTAACACAAAATTTGACATTATTTTGTGATGAAATGTTAGTTTAAATAATTTTTCACAAATAATTGTCGATTGGAAGGAAAAATAATTTTTGAAAAATGATTTATTTTTACATGTACTAATTTTTTTCAAAATGTTTTCGCAGCTCATGAATTATGGCTGCAGCCCGCAGCTGAAACATGTAGAGCAGGATATTGTTTTTTCTGAAACAATAAACAACTCACAAAAACCCATCGAGGAAAAGCCGATTTTAAATTCAAATCACCATGAATCAACCGTCGATCGTGAACTTCTACCACAAAATTAAAGAAAATAATAAGTAAAATAACTTAATTTTAAAATCAATAAATATGCAGATCTTTAGATGATTTTTTAATTCGCCAACCATCAAATTTTTCAAGTCCACGATTATCCAAAACTCACGCTTACTTTACAATAATAAAAAATATTATATCATATACAAGTTTATCGGTCACGACTTTTATTTGCATTTTTTTCACAACTGGCCGAAACCTGGAGATTTTCGCTCGTCTCTCACGTAAATGAGTTTCTTTCCAAGCAGATTTCGATTTCATTTCACACGCTCCGTGTCTGATGATGAGACTGCGCCGTTTCCCAAGAGCGAATTTTTCGACTTTTCGAGGTAATTTACAGGCGGCGGGTCAAGAGGTCAAAATGGTAGCGCGTAACAATGCACGTGGAGGAAGTTGTGTCTGACATATTGTGTGCAGTTGAAAAAGAAAGGCCCCGCACACATAAGCACAGCCGGTGCATTACACAATAATATAAAACATTTTTATTGTGTTTCTTTTGCTGTTAAGAAAAAGAAGGCGAGAGAAAAAAAAGAAGGTGGCGGCTCGTTATTTCGACAGCAGCAGATTGTGTGCGGGAGCAGAAACACCGAAAAAAAATAACTTGTACACACACACACAGTAGTGCTTCTTTTGATTCCAGTCATTATTATTTTTCCTCCAGACAGCTCTAAAGCGGAACACGGAAAAAACAATGG